CTATTTTCTAAAATATTTTTTAGAAAATATTAAAAAATTAGATTATAACATAAAAATAAAATTTAGAAAGGTCTATAAAAATTTTTATTTATTGTTTTTAGTATTAGTAATTAATATTTTTAACAAAAATAGCATAGAAAATTTTTTTACAGTAAAAAACATTAAAAAAAAATTTCTAAGAGTCCAAAATTTTTTTTTGTCCTAGGGCCCATAAAAATGTTGAGCCGGCACTGTTCATGTGTTGATCCTTCCCTTGAGTTCTGGAGGTTCTTTTCATCTTCATAGACGTTCTGGAGCTGCTTCTCTTGATCCTTGGTGATTCCTTCTTCCTTTGATCCAGAATGTGCTGTTTGGTGTGGAAAGAGCTCTTCTCGATAATCTTCTACACCAGTTTGACAATGGCTAGTTTTTCCTTGATGGTTCTCTTCTCCAGGGATGATTTGTTGATAAAATTGTTGAAAAGCTTGTAGAATCACAGAAAAATAGCAAGATCAAATTTAGACAAAGATTTTGAGAGCAAAACAGAGAAAAACGTTTATCTCTTCATATTCCCATATCTCTCTCTCAATAACCATTTTTCTCTCTTTTATCCAGAGAGTATCACATGCACTCAAGCACCTACAGCTCTCTACAGCCACCCTAGGACTCTACAAATACATTGGAACTCAAAAACAAACAACGACAAAGTAAAACACACTCAAACAACTTGATGGGCCTTCATACAAACAAAAGCCCAACGAACAAAACACCCAGCCCACAAATAAGCTTCTTCTCCTTCTTCGACACACCAACGATGGTTTGTAAACACATAACACATCACTTAACACTCCCTCTTGCTGTTTTGTGTTTCAAACCAAGTTTTTCTCTGCGAAATTCAAACAACTGACCTCTCAAGGGTTTTGTGAATATGTCAGCCACTTGATCTTCACCTCTACAATATTGCAATCTGATGTCTCCACATCTTTCAGCCTCTCGAACAATGTGGTACTTGATTTTTATATGTTTTGTTCTTCTATGTTGAACTGGATTCTTCCCGATAGCAATTGCAGACTGGCTGTCACTGTAGATTGGAGTTCCTTCTTGAGAGCTGAATTTCAAATCTTCTAAGAGGCGTTTCAACCACATCACTTGATTGGTAGTAGCGCACAATGCCATATATTCTGCCTCTGCAGTCGATTGAGCAATCGTGTCTTGCTTACAGGATTGCCAAGAGAACACAGCTGATCCAATGTTGAAACAGTACCCAGTTGTGGATTTTAAGTCCTCGACGCATCCTCCGTAATTGCTGTCAGAGTATCCAATTAACCTTGGTTCCTCAACGGTAGAGTAATACATTCCCATATCAACAGTCCCTCTGATGTATCTAAGAACTCTCTTTGCTTCATTAAGGTGCTTGACTCTAGGTTCCTTAAGATACCTTGAAAGATAAGATGCAGCAAATGTCAGATCGGGACGAGTTGCAGTCAAGTACAGTAGGCCTCCAACAAGACTTCGATAAACTATGCAGTCTGTAAGTTCTCCTTTTTCTTCTTCGTGTTTGCTTTGAGGTATGAGAGGAGTGTTCACAGCTCTGCAGTTTTCCATGTTGAACTTCTTTAACAATTTCTTTGCATAACACTCTTGTGACAGAAAGAATCCTTCCGATTCTTGGATAATCTCCATACCCAAGAAATAGTTCAACAGTCCAAGGTCAGACATTTCAAACTCATTCTTCATCACCATCTTGAATTCTTCAATCATATTCAAGTCGTCACCTGTCACAATAAGATCATCAACATATATGCATACCACTAGTAATTTTCCTTCGATTTCTTTTGTGAATAGAGCATGATCATTATCACTCCTTTTGAAGTTTTCCCGGTTGAAGAATTCTTCAATGCGGCTATACCACGCCCTCGGAGCCTGTTTTAGACCATAAAGAGCCTTATGCAAACGGAACACACAATCTTCCTTTCCTTCTTCTTCAAAACCAGGTGGTTGTTCTGCATATATTTCTTCTTCTAATGTTCCATTCAAGAAAGCAGATTTAACGTCTAGTTGAAACAGTTTCCATTTCCTTTGAGCCGCAACAGCAAGAATTAACCTGATAGTTTCATGTCTTGACACATGAGCAAAGGTTTCATGATAGTCAACCCCATATTGCTTTGTGTCTCACCACATTTCCTTGAGCATCAGTTTTTAATCTGAATATCCACTTGACTCCTACCACATTCTTGTCAGAAGGTCTTTCGAGAAGCTCCCATGTTTGATTTTTCTCAATGGTTTGAATCTCATCTACCATTGCAAGTCTCCATTCCTTGTGTTTTGCGGCTTCCTCAAATACAGCAGGTTCCTCTTCGATGCCAACATAGCAGCTTTCACAAGATCCAGAATATTCAACATTAGCATAAGGGGCATTCAAGAGGATATCTTCAATAGTTCTGGTTTTCTTGTTTTGCAGGTTTGAGTCACTTTCTGGGCTGTCGAGGTTTAAGCTCAATGGACTCGGAAGAGTACGTCTTTTCCCTATATCTTCATTGTCCTTTAATGATGTCTCTCCAGTTGTTGGGTTTTCTTCTTCATCCTTTGACTCGCTTGATAGGTCATAGGTTTTTGTAACTTCCTTCTTATCCCAATTCCACTTGCTTCCCTCATCAAATATGACGTCTCTTGAGATGTCAATCTTGTTTTCTTCCAGCAGGTACAGTCTATATCCTTTTGTTTGAGAGCTGTATCCTACAAATATACCTCTCTTTGACTTGTCATCCCATTTCTTCCTTTTTTCGTCTGGAATGTGGACATAACATATACTCCCAAACACTCTCATGTGTTCCAACGATGGTTTAGTTCCATCCCATGCTTCAATAGGGGTAATACTTTCTAAGGCTCTTGTTGGGGTTCGATTCTGGACGTACGTAGCAACGTGAACTGCATCAGCCCAAAATTTTAGAGGTAATCCCTGGCTTTGATCATAGCTCTTGCCATTTCAACTAAGCTTCTGTTTCTTCTTTCTGAAACTCCATTTTGTTGTGGAGAATATTCAGCAGTGAGTTGTCTTTCTATTCCATTTTCTTCAAGAAATTCTGTGAACTCTTTTGAAAGATACTCAGATCCTCTGTCGGTTCGAAGCTTCTTGATTTTGCAGTTTGAGTTATTTTCAACAAGACTCTTAAACTTTCTAAATGTTTGAAAGACCTCAGACTTGGCTCTCAGAAAATAAATCCAAACCATTCTTGTTGCATCATCAATAAATGTGAGAATGTACCTGTTTCCATTTATTGACAAGTTCTGCATTGGTCCACATAAGTCGCTGTGAATTAGCTCCAGTTTCACTCTTGCTCTGGTCTTAGATTCCTTCGGAAAGGGATCACGAGAATGCTTGCTTAGAATGCATGATTCACATTTTTCTGCTTCTACTTTGAACTTTGGTAAGCCGACCACCATGTCTTTTGATTGCATAATCTTCAGATTTGAATATCCAGTGTGCCCGAGCCTCTTATGCCAAATTGTTGCATCTTCATTCTTAGCCATCATTGCAGTTTCTTCACTTGCTTGCCACTTTATGTGAAAACTTTTGTTTCTCATCGGAACTTCTCCGATTTTTCTTCTTGTCCTATCATGAATGATGCATTTATTTTCTTTGAAGGTGACTTGGTAACCATTGGAGATCATCTGCGGCACACTTAGGAGATTTTTTCCCAGCTTAGGTACAAGGAAGACATCTCGTATGACTCTTTTCCCTTTCATTGTCATCACTTCAATATCTCCCTTTCCTTTAGTTATGAGTGCAACACCATTCCCAACTTTAATAGGGACATTAACACTTGTGTTTATTCTGATGAAGATCTTCTCGTCTGGAGTCATGTGATTAGTGCACCCGCTGTCAATGAGCCATGAGTTTTCTTCATTCAAATCTTGTTTTTCTTGTCTTGCAACGAACGTATGATTCTCTTCTCTTTCAAGTACTGTCTCAGCAGCAATCTTCGACTCCCACTCTGGTGAGCCCTCTCTTCTCTCCTTGATAGCTCCTCTGAGCACCAACACAGGTTTTCCAGTTTCTTCACACATCTTCACAACGTTAGGTTCCATGAATCAGCTAGTGCTCTGATACCATGTTGAAAAGCTTGTAGAATCACAGAAAAATAGCAAGATCAAATTTAGACAAAGATTTTGAGAGCAAAACAGAGAAAAACGTTTATCTCTTCATATTCCCATATCTCTCTCTCAATAACCATTTTTCTCTCTTTTATCCAGAGAGTATCACATGCACTCAAGCACCTACAGCTCTCTACAGCCACCCTAGGACTCTACAAATACATTGGAACTCAAAAACAAACAACGACAAAGTAAAACACACTCAAACAACTTGATGGGCCTTCATACAAACAAAAGCCCAACGAACAAAACACCCAGCCCACAAATAAGCTTCTTCTCCTTCTTCGACACACCAACGATGGTTTGTAACACATAACACATCACTTAACAAAAATTCAAGTCTCGAATCCTGAAGTTGATCAGAATACTCATTAGTCGATTTACCTTGCTTTCAGGTACTGTTGGGCGTGTAGATCCCTTGTGTGAACTGATTGAACTTGTGTTGAAGGTTTCTAGCTCTTTGACGTGTTATAGGGCCTTCAGGTATGTATGGAACCTCAATCTCCAGCCTTTGGTTTACTTCCATGTCCTCCAAATCTTGGTCTGATTCGATGTCCGCATCACTTGTAGATGTGAATATTAGGAATGGTACAATCTTTTGGTTTGTTACTTTTGTTTATGGCAATTCTGTGACCAATTTGAAAGATTTGGTTTGGGAAATAATGAATACAATTGGTTATTTCAATGAGATGTTATCTAATGAGGAAAAGCTAGGTGATCTTCAAAGACAAACTTCCTATAACATTTGCAGACTCTCTTGAAGAATTGTGATATGTATGAATTAGAAAGTTTTGATAATGGCTTCACATGGGGGGGGGGGGGGGAGGAGAATTAACCATTGGATTCAAGAAAAGACTTGATCGATGCTTTGGTAATTCAGTTTAGTTTTCCTTATTCCCAAAAGCACATCAGTGGTTTTTAAAGAAGCTCATATCCTATCATAAACCGGTTCTAGTCAAGTTTACAAACGGTAAAGAACTTTTTCGTGGTCAGTTTCGCTTTGATAAGAGATGGGCTGAGGTAGATTCCGTCGGGGGTGGTTGTATTGTTGTTGCCGGAGGTAGATTCACTTCGTGGCGGTGACACCATGACTATTTCTTGGAGACTCTTCTTTCAATAGACACTCTTGCGGCGATTCTTTGAGAGTTAGAAGAAAGAATCAATGCGAGAGAGATGATGAATTTTGAAACAAGTAAACAAGAAATGTGATTAGAGTATTTGTGTACATTGGTGGGAAAAATTAAACCTTCTAAATTTGGGTATTGGGCTAGAAAATAATGGAAACTGGATGAATTAATTCCGAAAAAAAAAAACATTAGTCAAAATTATTTTCCATAAAATACGGGATGAAAATTTTGGATAAAGTAGACATATTGGAATTCCATTTTGTTTTCATTGGTCTTCTGATGCTATATATAGTAGTCCTAGTTTCAAATTCCGGATTCAGAAGATATTTTTTTGTAGTGAGTGAGTTAAAAGCAAGTTTCTAAGAAAGGGATTTTTCTAAGATTTTTTATTTCAGTTCACTAATCACAATTGTTTGATGAGACACACAAAAAAAAAAGTGCAAGTAATCTCAAAATGTCGGAAACTTGAAGATGTTTTTAACCACAATACGAAACTTACGTTAGCAATATCGTTTAGTTACAGTTATCTTGGTTCATCAAGTCCTAAATTACAGAGTTTTGGTCCAGACTATCCAGTTATAGTAAAAAAAAGAAAAAAATATATATAGAAATTTATTATTCTTTGCATCAATGTAGCAACGTATATCTTACCAAAAAAAAAAAAATGTAGCAACGTATCTAGCAAGTTACTCTAACCAACTTGTGTTCCATCATAATATGAGGAAGCATTATTTTGTAAACATTTTTGTTTTTCTTAGATATCCAAGATAACTAGTTCCCGGTAACACCGGTTTAACTCGAGCAACACCGGTTCAAGAAACCAAAATTCAGGATGGAAACCGGGAAAAAAATAGCCGTTTTTTAATAAGAATGGTATCATAACAAATCTCTCTCGATTAAAGTTCTAACGGGTATAATCCTAGAACTACGAGGGCGGTGTATTTTGAAATTTCAGAGTGTTGTTTTATTTATCTCTCTTGCACATGAGAAAGGTCTCTTCTTCTTCTTCTTCTTCTTCTTCTTCTTCGTTGGGTACAAATCCTTGTTCTAATTTGTATCTATTTCTCATCGGTTTCAACAACGTAATCTGGCCTGATTGGATTCGAAAATGAACCAAAAAACCTCTCAAATCTCTTCGTTAGGTAAAACTAAAACCCTTCTTTTCAATTGTGTTGATTTCTCCTACATTATCCAATTTCAAATACGTAATTTGATCTGATCCGCTTCAAATTCTGAATCCCAAAGGTTGATCTGTTTATGAATTAATTGATTTCGGTTACTGCTACACGAGAGATCAAACCTCCAGAATTTAGGGTTTCGTCGATTGATATGTTTACGAATTGTGTTTCTCTGTAACTTGATTCGATTTCGTTTACTGTTACTTTACACATCCCAATCGGTATATAAATCGTCCTGCTTTTAGGTCGATCAATTGTGTTATTTTGTCTATATGATAGTTTTGAGATTTGGTTTTGGCAGGAACATGATCGGGAAAGAGCTTGATGGCCGTAGCTTCACCATCATCGAAGATAAACTCTGTTTTTGGTTCAGATGTGTTATGCATCACTTTGTCTCTTGCTCTTGTTCTTATGGTTTACTTTTTTTTTTTTTAATGTATAAATCCTTTCAAGTCTTCGTTGCTTGAAGAAAAGAGACATGTATCCATCCGCAATAAATTTGATTTTGAATGTTACTTTGCTCCACCAGTTCAATATGATTTTAAGATTATTTGTCTACATTCATATATAAATTCTTGTGTCTACCATAATTTTTTGTAAGTGTCATAGGTACCCAAACTAACTTTAATCTGCCTATTGATGTGCAAGCAGGGATAATCATCTAAAGGAAAGTTACATGCTGGATGAAGTTGACATATTGAGGAGTAAACCCCATTGGTATAAAGCTTACTTTTACTTCTTGTTTTCGTGGCTTTTTCTTCCTGTTAAGATGAGCTAATAAATTTCTCAACTGTGACTTACAGGAGGTGATAGAGCGATTTGAACAAAATTTCTGGAAAGGTAAACTTTAGTCGCTAGTTACTGTTAAACAAACGTATAAGGTGCTTCCATATAATTCTTAAAGAACTTTTGCAAAGATGGATGTAACTAAGCAAGTGTATTTAGTGCCCATAAGGCATGCATTACTATTTTTTCACATGGGACAGCCAAATGTGTTGCTTACTAATCAAATATTCGGTTCAGGAAAATGGATTCTCTGCAAAGACAAAACATTGGGGAGAATATTGGGTAGCTCGGAGCAAACGAAGGTTAATTTCTGTGGATTTTTGTACATTTATGTGGATTAACTTAATTTTTGTATTTCTTGTTTTCCTTTCGGTACTTATATTCAGGGGACTGCAGCTCTAAAGTGTGTTTTTAAGACGTCAGTTTCCACATCAACCTCTGCTAGAGGGCTGGAAAGCTTGCCTAGAGAAGATATCAGTAGGAAGATTACCCCTAGTCTTCCTAAGGGCTTTGATAGTTCTGATTGAAAGGTGCTATACAAATTGGAAATCTTCTTTTAACTATTCTTTTGTGGAAATTTAATTTAAGCTATAGAATTGAAACTGAGTCTTTTAAACTGTTGTAGATGCATTTGGATTCAACGGAAGCTGTAACTAAAATTCTGGTTGTGGCTAATAAACGTATCCAACCAACTGTAATTGGTATGAGGTCAGAATTTTTTCTATAATTCTCTGTTTTTATCCCAAGGCTTGTGATACGTGTCAATCATTCAATATAAATTTTACATTGTAATATATCACTGCCTGCCAGTTTTAGCAATTACTTGATTGATCTACTTCAGGGAATTCTATCTGATGTTCTGAAAATTTCGGAGATAACAATAAGCGCATGAGAGAATGATTGGTGATAAGCTTCCTTGGCTTCTCTTGATTTTTGGCTTGGTGTTGTGCATATTTACAAAATGGTTGGTGATATTCTTCCTTAGGCATGTCGTTTTTAGTATGTTAATGCAGATTCCTTACATTATAATAGCTCAACCATTCTAATGACTTGCTGGATTGGTTGAAAAACAGGCTTGTTGGATTAAGTGACTATGTGGATGCTATATGTTTACTGAAACCTGCAAGCACCGCAATGATGGTGACTCATTTAAAATTGTTAGACCACCTCATCCACTTTAATCAGTGATTATGTCTGTCTGTGATGATTTCAACTTCTATGCTTCTATGAAACTTTCCAGGAAAATCAGCAGATGTGCGAAATACAGGTTAAGGATGCATTTCTTTGATCACGAGAGTCAGTAGACAAGAAACTTTAGGTATCCTTGGGTTAGCTTTTTCATATCTGATTGGTCGTATGCATTTCTTTCTTTGATTGAAAAGAATACCACAAGATATCCAAGGCCCATCACTAGTTTTATGCTTGAAAATAAGTAAGACCGGGAATTTTTGAAGGTACCTCTCCATGATCTGGTTGTTGGATTAACATGCTCAATCCTCGCTGTTCCCTTTTTTTGTTCATGCTAACTACGGTTTTTTCAGAACCATTTGAGTGATCAAGAGCTTTGGCGGAACCAGTGTCGAAATGTGTTTCAAAGATTTCAAAATCGACTTCTAGTTGTACCTTGAAGCAAGGAAACAGAACAGTAAGATTTTGTCTGTCAACATATTTTCTTATGTATTTAATTGTAATGTGTGACCCAAAGATTGGAAAGAATGTTATTTGGTGGCTGAGTGATATATTTGTAGGTCAAAAGAAATTGGTATCTGATTCTCTAAATAGTTTATTAAATCTCTATTTCAGATGCAAGGGATCAAAATCGAACTATGGAATCGTTTTTCTCGATAAGTTTGGGAGACAAACATTTTCTTATTACTTCATTTTAAGTTAAGTTGTTCAACATGTTTCATTTTTAAGACATTCTCGTGCTTAATGCATATGCATGATCATATCACTTGGAAATGCAGGTTTAGAAAGTCATCACTCACATATCTTGGACTGCGGAAAATTCTCTATGAAATGTGTCGTACTTTGCATTACAGGTTAGTATCATATGAAGAAAAAGCTACCTTTGCGTTAAATGTTGTATTTAGACGTCAGTTCTATCTTTTTTCTTACAAATTTAGTTCTTAGCTCAATTGAGTGAGTTTTTCTACTAATTCACAAGCACTAGTGAACAAGTTGCAGATGCAAAGACACGAGTCTTTGCTACGAAGTGCCCTATTGTTTTCTATGAAGCAGTTGAACACGGTCGAGAGGGTGTGTGCTGGTTCTGTAAGTTTTCTTTGACTTTCATTTTAATCTGAACACAATGATGTATGAAATCATGAATGATCACAAGACTAATAAGGTTATTAGTGAAGGCTTTCTATGGTTGATTTTGGCAGTTGAAGACTCTTGTGTCTCGCTTTTGTTACATAAGATTTTGAAAGTGAAGGTTTATAGCTTTACTACTTAGAAATTTTCAGCCCCTGGTTTCTAACTTTTTGACAAAAGAGCTTTTTCTGTTCATTTGAGAGGATTTGATACATGTTAGTATGGATGTTGGGCTACACTATGCCACCAGAAATGCTACAATCAAAATTTTGAGTGCCTAACACAAGTTTGTTAGTTCAGGTGGCTATGAATTCCTTTAAGCTGCTTCTGCTTTGTCTAACTTGTTTTGTTAGGAGAACATATTTTCATAACTGAATTGAACTTTGTTATTTCTGTTTGCAGAAAGGGTTTCTTAAACCTGCACTACTAATTCCCACTTGATGCTGATATGAGAAAAACCCTTTCGAGGTACATTTGTGTGGATTGTCTTAATTTTTGGATTTTTTTGTTTTTTTTGCTGTACTTATCAGGGGACTGTTTATTAATCAAATATTCGGTTCAGGAGAATGGGGAGAAGATTGGGTAGCCAGGAGAAAACGAAGGTTAAGGTAGAGTTCTCTCTCTCTCTCTCTCACACACACACATATATATTCTATGGATGTGCACTGGATCAAGGTAATTTTTGACCGTGTTTCTCCATACTCTTCTATTCGAGACTTCATTATCTGTGGATGTGCACTGGATCAAGGTAAGTTTTGACTCAGCATTTTCTTTTCAAAACTATTTAGATAAAGCTATTTGTTCTGTAATGCTTTTAGAAATTTAGAGTAGGTAGTGTTGCTGGTAAACAAGCTGAAGCGGAATGATACCCTGGTCATACTCTATGAACTAGTTTTAAAGATGGGCACGCTATAGAGGGATTATTAACTAATTGAATTAATTCAATGATCATTTATCTTTGGAAACATTGCGGTCTTATTTCCTAAGACTGATCAATCCAGGTATGCTTCCAATTGTAGAAAACAAGTGTTATTTTGGTCTCAATAAACGTTCATGATAGCCAGCCTACAGGTCAATATGAAAAGATCATTGCTTACAGGATGAAAATTGATGTTGACAGTTCCACTTGATGTGAAAGTGATAATTTGTTAATTATATGTTTTGTGGATACAGATGTTCTGCGCACTTGGAAAAGCATGAGAAGGATCAGCTATGTATGGAACTTAATTATTGCCTTAATAACGGAAACCCCACACAGATGAAGTGGTAATTTTCACGTTCTTTTTATTTCACTGACCTCACCCTTAATACATATTTTTGTGCCAATAATCTGCAGCTTTTCTTTTAGGTAGAAAGATAAAAATGGCTTCATAGAGAGTAATTAAGACGTTGGTTTCGACACCAACCTCTGATGGATGGCTTACCTAGAGAAGTTATCAATAGCAAGATTGGAAGGTGCTTTTACAAATTGGAAATCTTCTTTTGTTGTCCAGATCTAACGATAGACATGAACTTATATAACTTGGAATTGCAGGTTCAACAATAAGTCATTGAGATCATTACTCACATATCTTCGACTGTGGAAATATTTCTTAAGAAAAGCCACCTTCAAGTGATGAATGCAGAATTTGACATCACTTCTATTTTTTTGTTAAAATATTATTTCCTAGCTCATTTGCCTGAGTAATAAGTTGCTGATATATAGACACGAGCTCATGCTACGAAGTTCCCTACTGCCTTCTGCGAAGCATTTGGTCCTGGTTTTGTTTTCGAGAGGGTATATACTAATTCGGTAAGTTTTCTTTGACTTTCATTTTAATCTGATTACAATGATGATTCATGACTTTTGAAAATCATGAAAGAGCACAAAAATCCCAAGGTTCTTAGTGAAGGCATGTTATGGATGGTTTTGAAAAGTTTTCTTCTTTGATATTTTCGGGCTCCTGACTTCCCTGTTTTTTTAACTGCAATGTTAAGTTATCTTTACTTTGACGAAAGAGCCTTTTTTGGTCTATTTGACAGATTCTTGGAAGGATCTTGGACTGCAATCTAGTACAGCTGCCACCGGAAATGCTACAATAAAACTTTTGGGTATTTTATACAAGTTTGTTGGTCCATGTGGCTTCTGATTTGTCTAACTTGTGCTGTACAAATTGGAAATCTTCTTTTAACTATTCTTTTGTGGTAATTTATTTTAAGCTGTAGAGTGGAAACTAATTTTGTAGATGCGTTTGGAGTCAACTGAAGCTGTAAATAAAAATCTAGAAGAGGCTACTAAACGTATCCAACCAACTGGAAGTCTTGAATTGGTATGTGGTCAGAAGTGTTTCTATAATTCTCTGTTTTTGAAGTGTTTTTATCCCAAGGTTGGTGATACGTGTCAAGCATTCAATCTAATTTTTACATTGTAATATATCACTTCCTACCAGTTTTACCAAATACTTTAGTGATCTACTTCAGGAATCCTATCTGGTGTTCTGAAAATATCGATGACAACAAAAAGCACATGAGAGAATGGTTGGTGATATTCTTCCTTAGGCATGTCTTTTTTATTTTGTTAATGCATACTCCTTAATTATAATAGCCCAAACATTCTAATGACTTGTTGAATTGGTTGAAAAAAACAGGCTTCCTGGATTAAGTGACTTTGTGGATGCTGTACGTTTATGAAAACTGCAAGCACCGCAAAGATGGTGACTCATTTAAAATTGTTATACCACCTCATCAACTTTAACCAGTGATCATGTCTGTTTGTAATGATTTCAATTTCTATGCTTCTATGATTCTTCCTGATGTGCGAAAAACAGGCTAATGATGCATTTCCGTGATCTTGAGAGTCAGTGGACAAGAAACGGTAGGTATCCTTGGGTTAGCTTCTTTTATTTCATGGCTAGAACCCAAAATATTATTGGCCGTGTGCATTTTGTTCTCAGATTGAAAAAATATCAAAAGATATCCAAGGCCCAGCACTAGTTTTATGCTTGAAAAAAGTATGACCAAGATTTGTTCAAGGTACCTCACCATGATCTGTTTGTCTGATTAACATGTTCTATCTTTGTTCCCCTTTTTTGTTCATGCTAACAATGTTATTTTCAGTGTCGGAACTAGTGTCGAAAGGTGTTTCAAAGAATCAAAATTGACTTCTAGTGGTACCTCTGTTAACATATTTTCTTCTATATTTTATTGTAATGTGTGACCCAAAGATTAGAAAGAATGATATTTGATGGCTGAGTGATATAATTATTGGTAAAAAGGAGATGCTATCTGATTCTCTAAATAGTTAAATATCTATTTTCAGAGCTATAACACTCAAAGATGCAAGGGATCAAATTCGAAGGATGGAATCGTTTTTCTCGACAAGTTGGGGAGCTAAACATTTTTTTAACACTTCATTAAGTTAAGTTGTTCCTAATGTTTCATTTCGTGATTAATGCATATGCATGAGCATATTGCTTGGAAATGCAGGTTCAGAAAATCATCACTCACATATATTCGACTGTAAGAAATTTTGCATTACAGGTTGTTATCATATGAAGCAAAAGCAAACTTCAATTGTTTAATGCTGTATTTAGACGTCAGTTCTCTGCTATGAAGTGCTCTATTTCTTCCTACAAAGCACTTGATCCTGGATTTTTTTTTAAGAGGGTATGTGCTCGTTCTGTAAGTTTTCTTTCACTTTCATTTAATCTGATCTCATGGTTTTTGTTTGTAGCTTAACAAAATCATGAATGAGCTGAAGAATACTAAGGTTCTTAGTGAGGCTTGCTATGGATGGTTTTGGCAGCTGAAGATTCTGGTGTCTCGCTTTTGATCCATAAGGTTTTTAAGTTTTTTCTACTTTGAAATTTCCAGCCCCTGGTTTCCAAGTTTTTTTCATGACGACAAAAGAGCATCTTTCTGTTCAATTGAGAGTATTTGATAGATGTTAGTAAGGATATTGGGCTGCAGTATAGTACAGCTGTCACCAGAAAAGCTAGAGTCAAAAATTTGAGTGCTTTACACAAGTTTGTTAGTTCAGCTGCTTCTGCTTTGTCTAACTTGTTTTGTTAGAAGAACATATTTTCATAATTGAATTTAACTGTTATTTTTGTTGGCAGACATCACAACGTTTCTTAAACCTACACTACTTTCGAGGTACATTTGTGTGGATTGTCTTAATTTTTGGATTTTTGGTTTTTCTTGCTATAATTATCAAGGGACTACTTACTTATCAAATGTTCAGTGTAGGAAAATGGATTCTCTGCAGAGACAAAATATTGGGGAGAAGATTGGCACCGAGGAGCAAACGAAGGTTAAGGTACTCTCTCTCTCTCACAGCAAAATAGAACACAATGTTCCAAAACACAACACCAAAGAAAAACAAAAAAAACTAAAAACAAAAACACTCAACATCACACAAAATTCGAACACACACACATCGACACTTAAAACAAAAACAGAAACTCAACACTCACAACACGAATTTTCATATGCCAAGAACTCAAACATGAAATCAACAAAAGAAAGAGACATCAATATAAGCAGAAACCTAATAATTGCACATATTCATTATTTTTCTTGTATTCTATTTTTATATGTATATGATTGTTTCCTAAGAATCAAATTGATTCACTGATCAAGCGACTACGATGGAAAATGACTTCCTGCATAAAGAGGTAATTTCTTTACAACTTTTGCTTATCTGTGATGGTTGAAATAATCTTAAGTCTGAACTAGGTATCTTTATTATGACTTATTTTCGGAGGCATTTGATAGCCAAGGGCCCAAGAGCAAATGACTAGTTAGGTGATGAAATTTCTATCTTTTTCACAACTATTGCCTTGTGAATATGTTCTTAAACTGCAGCGAACATAAGTTTTGGAAGCAATTCTATCTTCAAGAAGTTTTCGTTACTTTTCTAAATTTGATAATTGTGTAGTCTGTGTAGTCGTGTTATACTTTTCTTATGTATTTAGAATTACAATGATTTTATGTAATTGATGTTCAAGCTTACCTACAATATCAGGTCTCACTTGTATGGATGTGCACTGGAGCAAGGTAATTTTTGACTCAGCATTTTCTTTTGAAAAGTATTTATATAAAGCTATTTGTTCAGGAATTTATGAAATTTCTGTATTGCTTTAAAAATTCAGAGTTGGTGGTGTTGCTGGTAAAAATGTTGAAGTGGAATGATACCCTGGTCCTATTCTATGAACTTGTTTTAAAGGTGTGTATGTTACAGAGATTATTAACTAATTGAATTAATTCAATGATCCTTTATCTTTGGAAACAATGATGTCTTATTTCTTGAGACTGATCTATCCTGGTATGTTTCCAATTGCAGAAAAAGTGTTATTTTGGTCTCAAAAGACGTTCCTGATAGCTAGCATCCTAGTCAATATGAAGAGATCATTGCTTCTGCAATAAAAATTGATGGAAGGTAAAGGTTATCTACTCTAGGATGCAGACAGTTCCACTCGATGTGAAAGTGATAAATTGCTAATCATGGATTTGAGTCATATAACCAATTATGTGTTTTCGCACTTGGTTACAGCTGTTCTACGTATGGAACTTAATGATTGTCTTAGTACAGTATTACTGAACCAATAACGGGAAACCCCATGGATGAAGTGGTTATTTTCACTTTCCTTCTATTTCATTGACCTCACCCTGAATAAATATTTTATGTACCAATAATATGCAGATTAAAATGGCTTCATAGAGAGTTATTAAGACGTCGGTTTCGACATCAATCTCTGCTGCAGGGCTTACCTAGAGAAGTTATCAATAGCAAGATAACCCCTAATCTTCTTAAGGGCTTCGATAGTCCTGATTGGAAGGTACAAACTGGAAATTTTCTTTTAACTATTCTTTTAGGCAAATTTATTTATATTTAAGCTGTAGAGTTAAAAATGAGTCTCTTAAACTTGTGTAGATGCGTTTGGAGTCAACTGAAGCTGTAAATAAAATTCTGGAATTGGTATGAGGTCAGAAGTTTTTCTATAATTCTCTGTTTATGAAGTGTTTTTATCCCAAGGTTGGTGATACATGTCAAGTAATATGTCACTGCCTGCCAGTTTTACCAAATACTTGAGGGATCTACTTCAGGGAATTCTATCTGATGGTCTGAAAAATTTCGGTGACAACAAAAAGCTCATGAGAGAATGATTGACGATTATCTTCCTTGGCTGTGAATCTTTACAAAATGGTTGGTGATATTCTTCCTTAGGCATGTCTTTTTTATTCTTTCAATGCAGATTCTTTACATTATAATAGCCCAAACATTCTAATGACTTGCTGGATTGGTTGATTAAGTGACTCAGTGGATGCTATACGTTTACTGAAACCTGCAATGATGGTGACTCATTTAGAATTGTTATACCACCTCATCAACTTTAATCAGTGATTATGTCTGTTTGTGATGATTTCAATTTCTATGCTTCTATGAATCTTTCCAGGAAAAATCAGCAGATGTGTGAAAAACAGGCGAAGGAAGCATTTTTGTGATCTTGAGAGTCAGTGGACAAGAAGGGGTAGGTATCTGATTGGTCGTGTGCATTTTTCTCTCAGATTTGAAAAAATATCAAAAGATATCCATTTGAATGATCAAAAGCTTTGGCGGAGCCAGTGTCGAAAGGGGTTTCAAAGATTTCAAAATTGACTTTTCGTGGTACCTTGAAGTAAGGAGACAAAACAGTAAGATATAAACATATTTTCTTCGGTAGTTAGTTGTAATGTGTGACCCAAAGATTAGAAAGAACAATATTTGGTGGCTGAGTAATATATTTGTAGGTAAATTGAAATTGGTATCTGATTCTCTAAATAGTTTATAATACTCTAGTTCAGAGCTATAGCCCTTAAAGATTGAAGGGACATTTTTGATGTATGGAATCGTTTTTCTCGACAAGTAGGGGAGCCAAACATTATCTTAATACTTCATTTTAAGTTAAGTTGTTCCTCATGTTTCATTTTAAGACATTCTCGTGCTTAATGCATATGATTGAGCATATTACTTGGAAATGCAGGTTCATAAAATCATCACTCACATATCTTCGACTGCGGGAAAATTTCCTAAGAAATGTGTCGTACTTTGCATTACAGGTTAGTATCCTATGAAGAAAAAGCAACCTTCAATTGTTCAATGTTGTATTTAGACGTCAATTCTATCTTTTTCTTACAGAATTAGTTCTTGACTCATTTGCGTGAGTTTTTCTACTAATTCACATGCACTAATGAACGAGTATCAGATATACAGACACGAGCCTCTACTGCGAAGTGCACTATTTTTTTCTACGAAGCAGTTTATCATGGATTTGTTTACGAGAGGGTATGTGCTAGTTCTGTAAGTTTTCTTTGTCTTTAATTTTAATCTGATCACAATGATGATTCATGGCTTTTGTTTGTAACTTTACAAATTCATGAGTGAGCACAAGAATACTAAGTTTCTTAGTGAAGGCATGCATGGATGGTTTTGGCAGTTGAAGACTCTGGTGTCTCGTTTTTGATCGTAAGGTTTTTAAGTTTTTAGTTTTTTCATTATGAGAAAAGAGTTTTTTTCTTTTCTTTTCTGTTTATTTGAGAGGATATGATAGATGTTAGTAAGGATGTTATTTGGGCTTCACTCTTGTACAGCTGCCACCAGAAATGCTACAATCAAATGAAATGTTAGTTCAGGTGGCTATGAATTCCTTTAAGCTGCTTCTGCTTTGTCTAACTTGTTTTGTTAGAAGAACATATCTTCATAACTGAATTGAACTGTGTTATTTCTGTTTGCAGACATCAAAGGGTTTCTTAAACATGCACTACTAAGTGCCACTTGAAGCCGCATATGAGAAAAACCCTTTCAAGGTACATCTGTGTGGATTGTCTTTACTTTTTCTGGATTTTTTGTTTTTTCTTGTTGCACCTATCACGGGACTGCTTACTAATCAGATATTCGGTTCAGAAGAATGGATTCTCTGCAGAGAAGATTGGGTAGCCAAGAGCAAATGAAGGTTAAGGTAGAGTCTCTCTATCACACACACATACATACATCAAAAACATAACACAATGTCACAAAAACACAAAACACGCATTCACAAAGTCACCAAAACAAAACAAAAAAACACTCAACAGCACACAAAATTCAAACACACACACAAGGACGCTTAACACAAAAACAGAAACTCAACACTCACAACACGATTTTTCACATACCAAGAACTCAAACACGAAATTAATAAAAGAAAGAGACAACAATATATGAAGAAGCCTAATAATTGCACATATTCATTATTTTCTTGTATTATATTTTTATATATATTTTAGTTTCCCAAGAATCAATTTGATTCACTGATCAAGCGACTACAATAGGAAATGACTTCCTGCAAAAAGAGGTAATTTTCCTTACAACTTTTGTTTGTCTGTGATGGTCCTCAGTTTGATCCAGGTATATTTCGTATTTCTTGTTTTCCTTTCTGTACATATATTCAGGGGACTGCGGCTCCAAAATGTGTTCTTAAGACGTCAGTTTCCACATCAACCTCTGTAGTAGGGCTGGAAAGCTTACCTAGAGAAGCCTAAGGGCTTTAACTGAGTCTTTTAAACTGTTGTAGATGCATTTGGAGTCAACGGAAGCTCTAAAAAAAATTCTAGTAGAGGCTAATAAACGTATCCAACCAACTGGAATTGGTATGAGGTCAGAAGTTTTTCTATAATTCTCTGTTTTTGAAGTGTTTTTATAGGTTGGTGTTACGTGTCAAGCATTAAAAATAATTTTTACGTTGTAATATATCATTGCCTGACAGTTTTACCAAATACTTTAGTGACCTACTTTAGGGAATTCTAGCTTATGTTCTGAAAATTTCGGTGACAACAAAAAGCTCATGAGAGAATGGTGGCTGCTCTTGATTTGTGGCTTTGTGCTGTGCATCTTGACAAAATGGTTGATGATATTCTTCCTTAGGCATGTCTTTTTAGTTTTGTTAATGCATACTCCTTAATTATAATAGCCCAAACATTCTAATGACTTGTTGAATTGGTTGAAAAACAGGTTTGCTTGATTAAGTGACTATGTGGATGCTATACGTTTACTAAAACCTGAAAGCACCGTAATGATGGTGACTCTTGTTATACCACCTCATCAACTTTAATCAGTGATTATGTCTGTTTGTGATGATTTTAATTTCTATGCTTCTATGAATCTTTCACGGAAAAATCAGCAGATGTGTGAAATACCGCCTAAGGATGCATTTTCGTGATCTTGAGAGTCAGTGGGACAAGAAGGGGTAGGTATCCTTGGTTATCTTTTTCATTTCATGGCTAGAACCCAATATCTAATTGGTCGTGTGTATTTTTTCTCAGACTGAAAAGAAAATCAAAAGATATACAAGGCCCGACACTAGTTTTTATGCTTGAAAAAGGTAAGACCAGGATTTGTTTTTTGTTGTCTGATTAACATGTTCTATCCTCTCTGATCCTTTTTTCTGTTCATGCTAACAGAATTTGCTTAAGACAAGTTTGTTAGTTCAGGTGGCGGCTACGAATTCCTTTAAGCTGCTTCTGCTTTGTCTAACTTGTTTTGTTAGAAGAAAATATTTCATAACTGAATTGAACTGTGTTATTTCTGTTTGCATAAAGGGTTTTTAAAACCGGCACTACTAAGTGCCTCTTGATCCCGATATGAGAAAAACCCTTTCGAGGTACATTTGTGTGGATTGTCTTACTTTCTGGATTTTTTTTTCTTGCTTTACTTATCAGGGGACTGTTTATTAATCAAATATTCAGTTCAAGAGAATGGGGAGAAGATTGGGTAGCTAGGAGCAAACGAAGGTTAAGGTAGAGTCTCTCTCTTACACACACACACACACACACACATTCTATGGATGTGCAATGGATCAAGGTAATTTTTGACCGTGTTTCTCCATAGTCTTCTATTCGAGACTTATTATTGATGTTGACAGTATGGATAGCCAGCCTCCTCGTCAATATGAAAAGATCATTGCTTACACGGTGAAAATTGATGGAGGGTAAGTTTATCTACTCTAGGATGCTGACAGTTCCACTTGATGTGAAAGTGATAATTTGTTAATTATAAGTTTTGTGGATACAGATGTTCTGCGCACTTGGAAAAGCATGAGAAGGATCAACTATGTATGGAACTTAATTATTGCCTTAATAAGGGAAACCCCCACACAGATGAAGTGGTAATTTTCACTTTCCTTTTATTTCACTGACGTCACCCTTAATACATATTTTTTGTGCCAATAATCTGCAGCTTATCTTTTAGGTAGAAAGATTAAAGTGGCTCCATAGAGAGTTATTAAGACGTTGGTTTCGACATCAATCTTCTTTTGTTGTCTAAATCTAAGGAATCTTTGGTGGAATATTATTTCAAACTTTAGGATATAAACTTAGTCTTTTAAACTTTTGTAGATGCGATTGGAGTCAATTGAAGGTGTAAGTAAAATTCAGGAAGAGCCTAACAAACCTATCCAACCAAATGGAACTGGTATGAAGTCAGGAATTCTCCTATAATAATTCTTTAGTTTTTTTTCATTCCAAAACTAGTCATAAATTCTTATTAATCTGCTGTACCCTTTTTGTCAAGTTCGATTTGGTGGTCTACGAGGGGATAGTAACAAACATTGAATACCATTGGAGGTGTTGCAGCAGCCAAGGGATCAGCTGTCGAGAAGGCGAGCAACTTTGATGATACATGGCAAGCATTGGAAATCATTTTTACACTATAAAGTATCACTGCCTGCTAGTTTTACCAAATGTTTGAGTGGTCTACTTTAGGGAATTAGAAGTACATGATCCCCATACACTACTTCAGCTACTCTTGATTCATTGCTTGGTGTTGTGCATCTTTACAAAATGGTTGGTCATAATCTTCCTTTTGGCATATCTTCTGCCTGTTAATATAATTTCGTCAAGTTAACAGTCTTTTTTCATTTTGTTGATGCAGATACCTTATATAATAATAGATGGGAAAATGGGAGCAAAAGGAAGTATGGAATTATTTTTCTCGAAAGGCAAATACGTAGTCCAGACTAAATGAAGAGTCAGGTAAGATCTCTCTGTCTCTCTTCTCAAGGTAAAAAGTTAAGACTCAACAACAACAACAAACTCAATACAATCACAAATAAAGAACAAAAAACAATCAAACAAAACAAAAACCCCACTCTCAAACTAAAAAACTTCACATGCCACAAGACACAAGAATCGACAAAAACTCCACAAACTATAAAAACTTCTCATGCCACGAAACACAACACAAAAGTCGACAAAAACAAACAGAGCCCAACAAATTCACAATCACCTGAAACAAGAGTTCTCACGGGTACTTTTCCCTTTCTATGACAAATACTTTTTCTTTCTAATTTACTAGAGTTTAATAAATTTCTATTTATAATGTCAATAACAACAATTCAAAGAAATTTATGCACGAATTTTAATGCTATCTATTGGCTCATATTTTAATATCAAATTTTTTTTTTCTGTTATATGTAAGATGCAACATATCTTGTCTCAATTTCTCGTATTATACAAGACTATATCATGTAAATGAAATTATTATTTATCTCGTCTTCAATAACTATGTATCATGATCATTTTAATACACATTTTTCTCCTTTTCCAGGCATACAAATTTTCACTTTTGTTTTAATTTTGGTTATTTTAATTGATGATACAGACACTGTGTTTTGTTGTTGTAATGTGATGTTTATTAAACAACAAAGTTGGATTGTATATAGTAAGAAACGGTTGGGATCCAGATCAAATTGAGATTACAAAAGTCTAAAATTAATTAATAAAAGCAAAATCCTTGACACAAGCTCTCTATGCTATGAGCCTATGAGATACGATCTTGGTTGAAGATAGCCATCAACTCAAGCACCAGATTTTCATCATGCTCCACCACATACCTGTTTAAGAAGGTCAGATCGGTACATGCCAAGACAGACGCCATTGGAGGGAGTTCGCTTCCAAGCGATCCTTTGGACATGAGAGCTTTGATTACGTTACACCTTGGGACAATCCTCTTCTCCATGCTGTATCCAAGTACCTGAGGGAACAAAGTCATGACCTTTAGTGGCCAATTCATCTTCTTCACCACAAACTCAGTCTTCTTCTTCACCATCTCTGCAGAATATCCAATGCACTGAGGAAAGCACTTGACCATCATCACAAACTCATCTCTACTAAATCCTAAACCTATAAATGTTTCCATGGAATTCAATATCTGCTGCTCTGAAGCACGTAAGCATAGTAGATTCTTCTTGAACACTGACATGACCTCATCTTCGCACAGACCACACCTCTTTAAGGTTTCAAATGTCTGAATTATCTCTCTGAGTATCCAAGAAAGGTAGGGCAGTTCTTGAAAAGTTCCGATACATCATCTATAGTTAAGCCGAACCTTTTATAGACATTGAATTTTTCTTCTAGTCTTTTGTCGCTCAATCCATAAAAAATGCATAAGGCTTCCACAAACTTTGGGGTGGTGGGATCAAAACCCATCCCAACAACCTTCTCGAGTGATTCTTCAAAATTTTCTTTTCAACAGCAGACATGGTGATTAGAGATGAGCAAGGAGAACTACCTTCTTGGCTTACCCGAGCATTTTGGGAGGAGGAAGAAAGACATCTTCACTTCAATAATAGACCGTATCCATCAACGATCTCATAGCTGGACTTCTCGCTTTTTATCCGCGGCTGGTAAACAAATTCTCCTTAAGTCTGTCTTAGCAGCAATGTCGCTTTACGCTATGTCATGCTTCAAACTTGCTCTTTCACTTTGTAAAAGAATTCAATCGATTCTTACCCGCTTTTGGTAGGATGAGAAACCGGATAAGCGTAAGATAAGTTGGGTAGCTTGGGACACCTTAACCCTGCCCAAGTCTGAGGGAGGACTCGGATTCAGAGAAATTGAGCAATTTAATGATGCTCTCTTGGGTCGTATTAGCTGGAAAATTCTTCACTACCCTGATTCCTTACTAGATCGGGTTCTGTTGGGTAAGTATTGTCATGAGAAAAGCTTCCTTGATGTATATGTGTCCTCATCATGCTCCCATGGTTGGAGAAGCATCATGGCAGGGAGAGAGGTCCTGAAAAAAGGATTAGGCTGGACAACAGGTGATGGTTCATCTATAAGTGTGTGGAAGGATCCCTGGCTATCTACAGACCTTCCTCGCTTACCAATTGGTCCACCATCAGAAGAGAATCGTAATCTAACGGTTAGTGTCCTGCTTTCCCCTGCTTTTAACGATTGGAACACATTAGCTATACGACAACATCTACTTCAGTATGAGGATACCATCCGCAAGTTGATTCCTAGCTCTAGGAAGAAGAAGGATTCTTTGGTCTGATTACCGGAGAAGGCGGGTCCTTATTCTACAAAAACATGGTATGTTATAACATCGTATTTTAGCCCACTATTACTATGTTTTATTTAGGTTTTTCATGGAAAAAACAAGAGATATTGGAAATATCAAGGACGTTTCCAAGTATTTATGCTTCAAGGAAGAATAATGAGTTTTCAAGCAAAAAGGAGTAAAAGTCGATCAAATCCCGTTTCAAGACAGTTTCTGTACTTCAGAAGTATGGCATCCATTCGAGGTCTTCCCAATCACCAAATCCAGAGATCGCGATGGATATGGAAATCTAGAAGAGTCAAGATTTGCCTCGAAGTAGAATCAAGACAAACCATTCAGCCATTAAGAAGTTATGCGAGAGGAGTTAAGACATGTCCAGACCGGCCTGACAGCCCCACGACCGTTCTGGAGCCCCCAAGCACCACCGGTCATGAAGCCCGTGTCTGGGCTGTCCCACCGGTCACTCACCTCTTCACCTGGTCAAGAAACTCGAGCCAGCACTTAACCTAATTCATGAGAAATGACGATTTTGCCCCTTGACCTAATGGAAGCCTATAAATACCGAGACAAAGTGATGAAACCCTACGGCCTCTTCACCCTAATTTTGACAGCCTCCTGCAGCTACATCAACAAGAATCTCAACTCTCCTAGCTCCACCTCGCCGAAGCTCTCTTGCCATCGAAGAAGTCGTCCTTTGAAGCTCTCGCCTTTGTTCTTCATAGTTTTCTTTTCTACTCTTTCTTCTACTCTTTCTTTCAAGACTTTTGGGGAGACAAGTATCTTTTGTAACACTAGAGAAGTCTTCTTTGAACCCCCCCTTTGTTTTATTGATTTGTTTATTATGCTTTTCTACTTCAACTCCATGTCGTTTCTTTGCATCATGAGCGAGTAGTTTTCTTTATTGCGTTTTATGGGGTGATTCAAAGGGGATTCATGGTTCAAATCATATTAGGTTTATAGATCCGATTTTCGTTCATATTTAGATTCTTTTAGGATATCTTTTACTTAATGCATGTGTTTGGATTGATCACCAAACGCTGATCCAAGAGGTTAGGAGCTCTAACCGGGTAAACCTAATCTCGGACATAGTGTTACCAATCCTTCGTGTTGTTGCATGCGTAAGTTGAGTAACAGGACTTAGAGTACTTAGCGAATTCATTCCTAATGCGTCGATCTATGCGTCGTTGCTTGCGTTTGTTGAGTAACGGAGTATAGGGAGATTTGCTGTCTTATTCTATAACCTAGGATAACTCGTTTGTTCGCCTTTCATAGTTATTAGCTAGAACATAAACATAGAAACCCTAAAGATCTAAACCCTAGTTAGTCGAGAACCATGATACCCGGAGAAACTCCATAACGCCCAACGTCTTAGTCTTATTAGTTTACAACCGATCATTTACTTAGTTTGCATCCGTTACTTAGCTTTCATTTATTTGCTTTCTTATTTCATTTCATTAGTTATTAGGAAACCCAAAACCAAAGTCCCCAAGTTTAGTTTTGCCTTAGCTAGATCTTCTTTTCTGAATTCAATAACCCGTAGCTACACTCTATATGGGATCAATCCTAAAATACTACTCTGATTACTGTGCACTTGCAGTTTAATGTGTGGTCTTTCAGGTAAAAGATTGTAGTGAACTTCCACCACTATCAGTATGTCTTGACTAAACTGAACTCAAGCGCACCAGCCTCTAAAGTCTTCAACTGGAAACTCAACATATGGAAGCTTCGCATCCCCCCTAAGCTGAAGATGTTCCTATGGAAGTTAAAATGCAAAGCCCTCCCAGTGGGTAATAATCTGACTATTCACGGTATCTCGTGTGACATGTCTTGTAAGCGTTGTGGTGCGAGGGAAACAGAGCTACATATTCTCCTTCAGTGCCCTTTTTGCTCAGCGACTATGGGAACTTTCTCGTCTTCACTGCAAACCACGAGAAGATCTGATTAGTTCTCTAGCCCAGTTACTGGTAGCGGCTCGATTAACTCAAAATCTCCCTCCGACTGGAATCTCTCACACCTCACTCTACCATTGGACTCTCTGGTGTCTCTGGAAATCGCGTAACCTGCTTTTGTTCGAAAATCGGGGGTATCACAGAAGATGATACAGTTACTAAGGCCATTGTTGCAGCCAAAGAATGTACCTCTTAATGAGGCTGGTTCGTCACTCTTACCTCTTATTGAGGTCTCTCTTATCGTTAAACCTTTGACTGAGACTCCTTCACAAGCGTTACCTCCTTGTGAGGGCTTACACTGATTCACGGATGCGGCTTGGAACGCATCCTTTGGCTCTTGTGGCATGGGATGGATTTTCAAGACTCAAGACCATAGAGTTATCCATCAGGGCTCGGCGACTCGCCGCCATACACCCTTGGGTTTGGCTGATGAAGCCTTAGCGATGAAATCAGCGCTGACCGCAACGTCTCGAATGGAATTCACCTCCATCAATGTTTACTTCGACTCTCAGGTCCTTATATCTCTGCTCAATAAAGAGACCTCTACGAACGACCTTCAAGGGATTCTCCATGATATTGCCTTGCTTTGTCGTTCTTTTTTACTCCCTCTGTTTCATTATATAAGATGTTTTAGGGATTTTGTTTTGTTTTATATTATAAGATGTTTTGCTAGTTTCAATGTAAATTTAAATGCATTTGACAATTTGTGACTATTTATATTATGCAGTCTTTCTTATGATTGGTTGAATTTTTCTTAAACTAAATATAATAATGTCTTTAAAAGAAAAATAAATTATCTAAATATGTATCCATTTACTTAAAACTTCTTATATTTTGAAACAGATGGAGTATCTTTCAATTTCTCTTATGTTCCCCCCGAAGCTAACCTTGTAGTTGCATGTTGGCTAAGGCAGCTCTTGCTTCTTTGAATATTCTTTCTATGTAAGATTCCTTTCTATAATCTATAAAACCAGTTTGCCCAAAAAAAAAAAAAACCAACGTGTATGATACACATTTTTGATAGCCGAACCCTATAACACAAGAGACAAAGCGTTTGTCTAAGTTTCTGAGATTTGATCTATATACTGCAGTAGCATCCCACTCGATCCAGTTTGTGTGCATGTGGATACCGGTCCAGTTTGTATGCATGTGTATACCAGTAAAGGCACAACGTTTGGAGTGTTTTACAACCTCGGTTATTTCAGTTCATCTTTCCATTGCAAACTATCCAAGTATATTCATAATTTGGTGACGTAGATTTAATTCAATATTTACACGAATCCTAGCAATTAAATTTGTGATTAGTTTTATAAATCGTTATAAAATTATACAAATTCCTTCGTATATCTCGTTCAAAACACGAATACTCTTCTAATTGAAACAAAAAATGCAACCAATCAAAGAAAGGATAAAAACATGAAGACACAAAAAGGAAACATCACCCCAATTTAATAAATTACTACTCCCTCTGTTTTATAAAGAATGTCATTTTGACACATTTCACACATTTTAAAAAATGAGTTAAATATATACAAACATACTCTTATTTAATATACCCTTAATAATTTAAATACAAAGGATTTTAGTTTTGGATAAGGGGCAAATATAGAAATTAATTACAAAAGTTGCATTGAAAATGTAAAACAACATTCTTTTTGAAACAAAGAAATAACTCCAGAACGACACTCTTTATGAAACGGGGGAGTAGTAATTATGGCTCTAGAGTTTTAATTAACATCTAGATTTTTTTAGTTTTTGCTAACATGTAGTCTTCTTCAAGCATCCCTCAGTGAGCCTTGCTTTACGTCACCAGTGGACTGACATAGAACTGTGTCACATTTTCTACACGCTACAACTGTGTGAGAATGGCTAAACAAAGTGGTTCTGCAAAAAAGTATAATCGATTGTTAATAAAACAATATTACCAATTTTTTAGTTAATTAAACAGCAATTAACAAGTTAAAAGCAACAATTTAGTTCACATCACCACTGATTTAAAAGCTGAAGAATTTTTTCCTAATAATACCAATCTAATTGCCAGTGAACTAAAATCTAGACAATTTCTTCCTAATGACACCAATATATAGTTCCAATAAATTAAAACAGCATTCAAAATGGGCAAAACCAACACTTAATTCACAACACTACTGATTTAAAACAGTGAACAGTTTCTTCCTAATTAAACAACATTTAATCAATACCAAAATTAGAAAACTCACATGTTGAAGCATCCCGGACACTTGACGTCCTGAAAACATAATAAGATTAATTCATTGCATCGCATCCAATTATGTTACGGATCTCTAATCATGTTTACCAAAAAAAATCAGAGAATAAAAAAAACAGTACCATGAAGAAAGAGTTTGGAGATTGCACAAGACGTTTGAGTTTGTGCTTCTCTTCTCGAGCTCAGCAGGAGGATTAAGCAGGTCGATATCATTTTGGAGTACCTAATTATCCATAGATCCAAAAGGAACACATAATTTAGACATCCGATAAAAGGAAATTAAACCAGAGAACAAAATAAATAAATAAAAAGGAGAAGAACGAAGCGAGATCACTTCACCATGATTGCTTGTGGAAAGGAGACGAAGGGGGGTGTATTGAATTAAATATTTGTTTGTGTTTGGTGGAATTTCTATATTTTAGGTTTTGGAGAGATTTGAGTAAAATTTTAGGATGGTTGGGTTGATTTGTTTGTGATTTGGTGAGATTTATTGAAAGGATCTGTGAGAATTTAGTATAAAAAAAAAAGAAGAAGTCAACAACATTTTTTTTTTTTTAATAACTATGCTTCTCTTTTTTGTTATCCTCTCCTTTGCCAAACGTCATTTTTTTGGACGTAACTCTACCTCTGGATTCAAATTTAATGATCAATCAATAACAAATAGTCTCAAGTCTCAACAAGTCAATAGAAATAATAAAAAACAATCTAAAGAAATAACATTAAACATATAGCATCATGATTCCATATTCATAGCATCTGTCCACATGTTCTCTGCTATTGTTGCTCTCCAATTATTAGCAAGTACTCTTTGTTGTTACAAGTGGATTCGATTGGATACTTGAGAATGCTTGATATGAGAGAGTGAGAGAGAACTTGAAAGTAAAATCGAGATCGAGAGAGATAGAAAGACAAGAAGGAAGAGAGAAAATAGAAAGAGATAGAAAGACGAGAAGGAAGAGAAAACATTGAACAAGTCGTTGGTATGCTTTTTTGGACTTTGGAAAGCTTTGAAAGGATTGGAAGAATGGTGTACATTACCAAAAGGTTGTGCTAGAATGGTGAATTATGGTGGAAATATTGTGGTTCTGTGGGAGGATTTTGTGAGTTCTATTGGTTCTATTAAGACGAAGATTTGGTGTGCTGAGATTGCCCTCGAAAGGCACAACGGACAGGGGATTTATGGGAAGGTTAATTGGTGTGATGTTGTACTTACAGTCCCCAAGTCATGTTCATTCGAAGAAGTTTTTGTAACGACTTTTTGAGGAGTGAACATATTATGAGCCATTTGCTTGCACATGGTAATATCATATTGTATTTGAAGTTGCTTCACATCTGCATTTGTATCTGTCTTCTAGACCACACATAGCAAAAACCTCGACGAAAACAGAATGCAAGCTTTGATGTCGCATTTAATTTTCCCTTTATATAAGACTTGCTTCTGTTATTTCAACATTCCAGTGTAGAGGCATCTCGTTCGTCGCATAGTGATCCATCTCCATAGATGAAAGGGTATCTGTTGGTGGGCCTTTTAGTTCTTCATCTTCCACTGAGACTAAGTTATCGTCTAAAGCTTCGTTCTTGCAATCTACATCAGTTTTAGATTCTTCTGTGAAGAGTGCCTCAAAGAAACACTTGCTGTCTGAGTCTTTATTCTCTGAATTAAATTTCACATCCAGAACTGGAGTTAGGAAGTCAACTGAAGACGTAGTCGGTTGAAAACCGAGAACACTCTTCAAGACATCATCCATTCCAGGCTCTCCTTTGCATTTTGGACTAGTTAAATTTGGATTCTCGATCTCGTGAATCAGGGAATCGGGATCCATGGGCTTATCACTGAGGTTCTCCCTTTCTGTGTAACAATCAGCTTTTGTGCTTAATCTTACCGTCTCTTCATCTAAACCATTGTCTCTGACGCTAACCACTGTCTCAGCTTCCTCATCTCCTCCAAAACTATCATCCAATTTTTTAGAAACTCCATAAATTATTTCCTGAGAATTGTCTTCAATACATGAAGCAAGTCCTTTCAGTGAAGAACTTGGGTTCCCCGAAGCAGCGTATGTGTTTTCAGACTCCTCTGCTGCAACTTGGCTTTCGTCTGGAAGGGTACTCACCTGAGATTTCTCTTCTATCTCTACATCATCTTCATTTGAAAATTCAGGGGCTGTAACTACGAGGGCTTGGCTGTATTTTCCACTGGTCATCGAATGCGAAGACAATAATCCAGCAAGTGCAGATGCTAAAGCATCATTTATAGACAGCGAATGTTTTGGTTTCTCTTCAAAAGTATAACCAACCTCCTCATTACTGATCTCCGGTTCAGCAGAAAATCATCTCATTTCCTGAGATTGAGCTATTTTCACTCTCCAGTTCTACAGACTTTGGAAGAATATTATCAAGCCTGTTCTTCGGTAGTACAACAGAACAATCTTCACTGTTGTCTATACTAGAGGAGTCAAGAACAACTGTTTTAGTACAAGAGGCCAACTGTGGATCATCCGTGTTTATAGTCAATCCATCCAACTCATCGGTATCAGGAGTTTTATCTGTATCACTGCCCAGAGAATCTGGATATGGCATTTTCACTTGAAAATCTAATTCAGATTCAAATGATTTCTTCTTTCCTAGCTGTTCGAGTTTCTTCTCTACTAACTGGAGCCTTGCATCAATACTATTAATAGGTTTCAACATCTGATCTTCAAATCTTATCAAGATAGTTTCTATCATGCTTACCTTGTTAACAAGCTGATACAGAATAGTCTCCACATTATTGCAAGACAGAGCAGGCTTGATTTCTGCCCCAGATACTCGTGTTACTGCATCAACCCGCTTTGGAAGAGTATCAACTAAAACTGGTGAGCTCTCTCCTATCTTATCAGCTCTACTGAAATTTGTCTCCTTCCTATCTGAATCATTTGCGTTTCCTAAATCTACCGGATCCATGCTGTTGGACTCATCGGAAACTTGTCTATCCCGTTCTTTTCTGACATCTTTTCCTCGAGATAACTGCAAAAGAGCGGGCATAAACATAGCCATCAACGAACTACTAGATGAATTTCCTGTTCCACTCGCTTCTTCCTTCTCTGACTCACTTGGATCAACAGGATCAGCAAACACATAAACTTCATCAACAAGTGCACATCTTTTATCCTGAAGAGAGAGAAGACGGACTGTAATCGAAGTGCAAGGTTCTGCGTCATTGATCTCCGCAGTAGCTTCATAAAAAACCTGAAAAGCATTACCACATAACATCAACCATTACTGATAAGCGTATATCTCAGGGTTCCTAAAGTCGACTTCCGCAAAAACTCATTACCTGTTTCCCTAATTGTGACATTGGAACAAGATCTTTTTGATTATTCAACAGAGAATCATCACCAGCTTTCACATCAACCCAATCATCTTCATTCATCCGTCCATTCCCATTATCTTTCACCCTCTTCTCAATCGGATCCTTTACCGGTTCCACTGAACTCTGAAGCACTTCTTCATCTCTAATTGCAACACCACATCGAACAGTACACAGATATTCCTTATCATGTCGCCGCTTTTTCGTGTAATACACTTCGTATACTCGTGCACTACTTCGGATATAGATTTGCTTCAATTCATGTTCTTGTGCAAATGTAACTGCAACCAAAACACAAACATTTCACAAAACAAAAAGATCAAAATTCCCATCAATTTCAATATCTAAGACCGGATCGGAGAATAACGAAGACGAATTAAGGAACGTACTTGTAATTTCACATGGCTCGCTGTTGGGAACTGGAGGGAGAAGAAGTAAGGGGGATTTGGTTACATGATTGACGGCGGCGGAGATGATTCCATCGTCAGATTCATGGTTTGCGGTGAAGGAAGACTCAAAGGAGATGGAGTCTGTGAGGGCACCGCCGGCGAGTTTCCAGTTTGTGGTAGAATTGAAATCGTCGTCGTGGTTGGTCGCATCCATCGCTCTTTCTCGTTTTGATTGGGAAAGATTTTGGGTTTAATATTTAGTTGAATGATTTTGGATCCAAATTGATGATAAAATTAAAAACAGAAGAAACCTATAGTTTGATCCAAAAAAAAATTGAAAAAAAAAAAACTACAGTCTACAGTAAAAAAAAGGCAAAATGTCCGCAAACTTTCAAAATTTAGGACGAAAATAACATAATCATAAAGTTTAGATTGATTTTTTAATAAAATAGTGAAGTTTCGTTTACTTGACCATTTCGGACATGCCGATAAATTTCCGTTAACGATCACGGGGTTAACGACTTCGTTTATAAAATTATTCCTCAACTTTCACGTTTGCAAATTAGTTCCTCAAGTTTATGTTGACTACGCAAAATTGAATTAAAAAAATCAACGGTATCTATGTACATGCTAAAGTCTGGTGGTATCCACATAACATCATATAAATCAACGTTATCTATGTGCATATTTGCTGCAGCTAAAGTTGTGTCTAGATAGATCACATATCTTACTACTATTTCACATGGAGTGTGTAAGGATTATGTACCGAACATGGAGTTTTTCAAATTTTCTGTTTAAATATATTAACAAATTTAGATTTAATACGTGGTAAGTGGTAACATTTGATGTTTGAATTGACACAAATTTCTACAATAGTCCATTATCTAATGAATTTTTCCGTTCTAATGTGAGTTAACAACTTTAGAAATCAAACTTTATATAATAAAATAATTAAAATAATATGCATCTCTTACTCGTTTACTATTATATTTTTATTTTCTATATATTCTATAAACCATGTTATAAAGGTTAATTTCAAAAATACCTTTTTTTACAATACCTTTTTTTACAATACCATTTTCAAAATTCCCTCCACATGTTGTTCCATTTTATAAGATTTGAAATAGTTTTACAAAGAATTTATAAGGGTTTTAGAAAGTTTTTAGATGATTTATAAAGATGATTTGGGGTTTAGCCACCATAAGCCATTATAATTGAAATTGGACAACATATAGAGCCATTTTTAAAAAATTTCCCTTTTTTAAAAAGGGTATTGTAAAATATGTATTTCTCAAAAAAAATTCAAGTGATAATGAAGAGTATTATAGGTTGTCAATTAAAATAAAACCTAGTTTACCAAACTGATGACGAAAGTTTTAGTTTAATAATGATATTGAAAAATATTTCTTTTAGCTAAATTTCTCAATTCTAATAAATATAATATTAAAAATACAAAAAAATAATGGATTTATTCTCATAACAATCATTGTTTCGGTTGTAAATATTTTTCTTTTAATGTTATATGTTTTCGTTCTATGAGAAATTTTAACAAGTTTTTCTAATATATACTAGCTTTTTTTTAGTTTTATAGATAGTTCAAAAGTATTTGATTTTAACCTAAATACAACTTAATTTACTAAGACCTCTTAAAATTTAGAGCATGTGCAATGGAGGTTTTCAAAAGAGTTTTCAACAATATAAAATATAAAAATAAAAAATAAAAAGTATGAGAGAGAAATGAGAATCGGTTCTGATTTGAGAATTTTTAAGAATCCAATAAAAGACTATTATTATGTATATTATAAACTTATAATATGATTTGTTTTGAATTCTTTTTCGTCATCTAAAATTTAAATAAAAAATAAAATAAATTATATATATTAAAATAACAAATTTGAGAGGCTTTGATAGTCTCTATTAAAATAAATTTTTTAAGAGTTCTATAAAAAAAACGTTCTCTTCGTCCAAAGAGGAGAGAACCAAAACAAAACAAAAAAAAAAACAAAGGAAGGGAAAGAAGAAGATCAATCCATGGACACCATGAAGGTTGAAATCATTGGTAAAGAGATCATAAAGCCATCTGCAATAACTCCAACTGATCTCCCACCTCTTCAATTCTCTATTATGGATATAATAATGCCTCCTGTTTACACCGTTGCCTTTCTTTTCTACACCAAAGATGATTTGATCTCCCAAGAACAAACGTCTCACACTCTCAAAACTTCCCTGTCCGAGATCTTGACAAAATTCCACCCTTTAGCCGGAAGAGTCAATGGAGTCACCATCGAGAGTAATGACGAAGGAGCCGTCTTTGTGGAGGCACGCGTCGATAACTGCAATCTCTCTAGTTTTCTTAGATCCCCAGATACCGAGTTCCTCAAACAGTTGCTTCCTGTAGATGACGAGCCAGCTCCTACATGGCCCTTGCTTCTTGTGCAAGCGACCTACTTCCAATGTGGTGGCATGGCCATCGGACTCTGCATCTCCCATAAGCTTGCCGATGCAACCTCTCTCTCGATTTTCTTACAGGCTTGGGCTGCCACAGCTCGAGGGGAGAGCGACTCGGTGGCCAGTCCTGACTTTGTTTCCACAAAGCTTTACCCAGCGGCAAATGAGGCTATTGGTATTCCAAAAAAGGATCAAGTAGGTAAGAGAACAAGTGTCACGAAGAGATTTGTGTTTGTAGAATCTAAGATCGAAGAGCTCAGGAACAAAGTCGCTAGTGATGTCGTGCCTCGACCCACGCGGGTCCAGAGCGTGACTTCACTTATATGGAAATGTGTTGTGACTGCTTCGACAGACACAATTCGTGAGAAAGCTCTGTTCCAACCGGCTAACTTGCGCCCCAAGATACCCTCCCTATTGTCTGAAAACCAAATCGGTAACCTCTTCTTCGCCACCCTAACCTTGGATGGAAAAGCCGGGGTGGATATTGTAGAAACTGTTAAGGAACTACAAAAAAGGGCCGAGGAGTTATCCGGTTTGGTTCAACATGAGGAAGGGTCATCAATGACGATAGGTTCGAGATTGTTTGGTGAAATCATTAATTCCAAGTTTAACCACGAGGTTCATGACATGCATTCTGTAACTAGCTGGTGCAAGATTCCTCTTTATAAGGCTTGCTTCGGGTGGGGATCTCCGGTTTGGGTAGCTGGATCTGTTTCTCCGAATCTAGACGATGTAACCGTGTTGATCGATTCTAAAGATGGACAAGGAATCGAAGCATGGGTGACATTGCATCAAGAGAACATGTTACTGTTCGAGCAGAGCACAGAACTGCTTGCCTTTGCCTCCCCAAATCCAAGTGTATTGATCTAATGACGAAAGATGTCAATTCCATATATTACTGTTACTGTGCTAAAGTTGATTGGATTTAAGATGTAACTTTCTTTTAAATATTTTCAAAATGTTCTGCTTTTAATGGAAATTTAAAAAAAAAAAAAAAAAGATGTATCTTTCTTTTTGAAGTGTTTTTATAATAAATGAAAATATCCTATTACTTGTATCATATTCAGATTGCATCACCCGATATAACTAAATGCTTTAAGTCAGATTTGGATTTAAAAAGCTTGTTTGCTTCTACATCTTGTTCATCTTCTCTTACGCTTTGGCGTCAACTTAAGATCTGCATGTGGCTAAAGCTAAATGCAACATGGGTTAGTACGTGGATGCAAGATTTGCGTTAGTGAATATGTTAATGCGTGGCAAAACATATTTTAAGGACATGAAATCAAAAGCTGGATTGGAACAAGTTTAAAATAATCAAAAATAAAACAAGTGTGTATTTTATTAATGATTTTATATGAATAATAATTGGAGATGATATATTTGATTCTTAAGTCTACGATCGTATAATAAAGTTCACAGCTGTAGTGGAATAATTTAATTTGCTGATGTATCCTATACTATTATTTAGGGATTACATCCTATAAGTCGTAACGTTGATTTTGTAAGAAATTACAGTATATATCATTAGAGATCTCTAATCATAATTATTTTAATTCCATGTTACTAATACTCTCTCCGTTTCATAATATAAGTCGTTTTAGCTTTAAACACGTAGATTAAGAATATCTACTTTTAAAAAGTTCAACCAATCATAAAACAGACTGTATAATATAAATAATTATAAAATATTAAAGTAATATATAAAGTGCATAGAAACTTGAAAACGACTTATATTATAAAACAAAATTTTTTCTCCAAAACGACTTATATTATGAAACGGAGGGAGTATATATTAACGGGTCAACAAGTCAAACAGGTTAAAGATATTAAAGAGATTTTGTTTAGATTTTATAATTGTTATAAACAAAATTTATAAATAAAATATTGTTATGCACGTATGATAAAAGTATGGGCTATATTAATTTAAAACCACAATTGACCAAAAAATTAAGAATATACCCATTATTTTTATATTATTAGTTCTCTCTCCTCAACTTCTGTAAGTTGGACAAAAATGCCCCTCCGCATATAACAAATTAGTTAACAATATAATAAAATAGTTATCGACGTTTTTTATTTGATTCTGAATAAATTGTCCGTCAAATATATGAGTAAGAATATATGATAAGTTAAATGATTATCTATTGGTTTAACACGATAACAAAATATATATCAATAAGTTTATAAATATATCATGTTAAAACATATTGTATCGCGATAAGTTTATAATTGATATAATAAAGTTTATATTATCATAGAAAATATTTATGGTAAGATAGTAGATATATAGATAATATTTATAGTAACGTGTATAACGATGTTAACATGATAACAATAAAAGTAACAGGTGTTACTCTAGTTCTGTTCACCGACGAGGCAAACCCAGAAAACAACATAATTAAGTTTTTTGGCCGCCACTGTCAAATCTTCAATTATCACAGCTCCTCCGTCCCTATCTTCGTCTCAACTCACCACTCCATTTGATCTAACTTCACGACATTGTCTCTTTCTCCGACGTAGTTACCACAACCGATAGAATCATCACCACCACCGATAGAATCATCACCACCACCATCGGAACCATTAACACGTACAATCATTTGTGCCACTTAGCCATTGCTCTTGCCATAAAAGTTAGCCACATACAATCATCTTCATCGTCGTTGTCTCCGTGTCCTTCTCGACCACCGTTCACATGAGATGTTCTATGAAGAGAGAGAAAAGAACATGAGAAAAGTGCAGAAGGATAATAAAGTAACTTCATCAGCTCTTTCACCTAATTTTTCAGTCTTCTGTGGTCAGATATTGTAGATACCCTAAAAGTATTCATTAATCAAATTATATATAATTTCAGTTTAGCTTTCTTATTATCAGATTATATATAATTTCATATACATTGATGTTAATATCTTTTTCTAATATAAATATTTTTCTACATTATGCAGGTGCATATTATATTTGATAATGGAAAAGCAAAATTCACTTTTGATTGGGATGTGATTTTTAAAGTTCAAGGTAGAGTACTTTTAATTTTTCATTGCTGCTACTTTGATATATGCTTTAACAAGATTTCAAGATTAAAAACTATAAAATTACAACGAAAAAATGATATGATTTGTAAGATTAGATTTTTACTTTCAAATATATTAAAACTTACTAACAAAAATATATTTAAAAGACTTCCTAACAAAAATTCTTTTTAATTGATATTTGCATTTTATCTTGCGTCTTAACGTTGTTAATTCATAGATTTATTCCGTAATAAAGGAAGAAGAGATAAAATTCTTATCAGATAATTTTTTTCTTTTTTTTAAACAACATGCTACTGGGTCAAATAAAACCTAATATAGCCCACGTAAAAACTTAGACCCAATACAACTATTTTTTTTTCTTGCTCTCAATGACACAACGCAATTATGAATACCTAATTGAACCAAATAAATTTTTAATCTCACATAAACAAAAATATAAATCTAATGCAGCTAAATATATTTGATATACAATACAATATTCTCTCCTTTTTTATTATCAAGTCATGTTTTTAAACCAAGTTAATATTAAACAACATTTAATTCATACAATAAAATAACCCAATATGATATAGAATGTAAATTTAAAATTTATCATATACTATTATTTAATTCTACAAACAAAATATATAACTATCGTCAAATGAAATATATAACATTATATCCAAATAGTAATAAAAATAAAATATTATGATATATTCCCTTTTATACTATACTATTATACTATATTATTTCTTATTTTTTTGAATAAATATACAATTTAATTCATAAAAAAATATTAAATCACGTGCTATGCTCTAGTATCTTAAAGTTATTTGAGAAGCCAGTATGATTCAAAATGAAAGCTGGGGTTTGAACTCTCACATGAAAGTTGCCGTGTATAAACTCGAAAATATTTTTAATGAAAAAAGCATAGTTTCTAAGGGTTCTCATTTTCTAATAGAAAATTTAGTTTACTTTTTTTTTTTTCTATTGAGGTGCCATTGACTTTGTGATTAATTTTTTAAAAAACTCTGATTTAACTATAACTGTTTTGTGATTTTAGTACTTGTTATATTTATTTCTGGTTCACCGAGATTTAATAAGCTAAGAAGTACGTACAAGAAAAACATAATAATTCTTTTTTTGTCAACAACTTTAATTAAAATTCAAACGAGCCATTCTCAAGTAATATGATGCGGTTCGGTACGAACTTTTCGTGCAAAGTTATCCGCTTTTACATTTGCACTTCGAGGATTAGTGATAATGAGAAACTTGAAAATTCCTCCTTGTCGCTCTTGAAATCTTCCAAATACACTGAAAAGGCTGGCCATTCGGTTGGCGAAGACACCATCTTCACCAGGTCTGAACAGTCTATATAAAAAGCTACATCTTGGTTGTCTACTCCAATCATACACTTCATCGCCCAGAGAAGAGCTTCCACTTCTGTATATAGTGGAGAAAGACTTCTTCGGATGTTGGCAGCTCCCATGGTTGGCGTCTCTCCATTTGATGATGTACGGAATCACCCTGTTCCTGAAAATTTATCTGTCCCTTTCCATGATCCATCCACGAAGCAACGAAATCCAGAGTAGAAAGTATCATGAGAAATATCCCTCATTCGAGCTCGAGTGTCGCGGTCTAAAGAAACTTGATTTTCATTATAAAGCTCTAATTGAGCTAACTGCCAAGATTGCGCCTCTTTTTCCGTTAAACGTAATATCTCTAATGGGTCTTTATCCACATTTTCAAAGATCTTTTTATTTCTTGCTTTCCAAATATACTAAATTATCCATGGATAAGAAGATGAGTCTACCTCTGAAGGAATTCTCCAAAATAGGTGATCCAAATTCTCGTAAATTGAAACCGTTGGGAAAATTTCCGGAACCATAGGAGTCTGAGAAAGTGTCCACAGTTGTCTCGTTGGGTGGCATTCAGAAAGTGTATGGTTAATTGATTCCTCTATCGCACCGCATCTGCGACATCCTGAATCACACTTTATACCTCTTTTCCGCAGTTTTTTCGTAACCGGTACACAATCCGATAAAATCTGCCATAGAAAATGCGTAGCTTAGGCGGACACTTCACCTTCCAAGTATATGCTTATAGAGATTTGATATCTGGGCCACAAAACGATGTGTTGGCTTCCAAATCCTCTAGCCGCGTCGTATGATAACCAGATTTAACTGTATATTTACCAGACTTTGTGAAATGCCAACCAAGGGTATCCTCCTTAGTTGGCGCACCCAAAGGCAGGGCACTAATCAGCGGGACATCTTCTGGAACAAACAGCTCTTTCAAGAGATCAATGTTCCAAAAATTTGATCGGCTGTCGATAAGATTTTTGACTTTCAAAGATGGGTCAATAATTGAACCATTACTTTTTGCCGGTCTCGGGAATTGAGTTGGAATCCATGGGTCCTCCCAAACTGAGATGGACTCCCCAGAACCGACTCTTTTAATAAGTCCTTTAATAAACAGAGATCTAGCTAACATGATACTTCTCCAACCATAGGAAGGAGAGTGTGATTTTATTGTATCCAGAGGATTGGATTTCCGAAAATACTGTCCTTTAAAAACCTTTGCAAATAGTGAATCGGGAACTGTAGTCAAACGCCATAATTGTTTTGCTAATAAAGCCGAACTAAAATCATCAACACTCTGAAATCCCAATCCACCTTCTGATTGACTACTACATAGCTTGTTCCAAGCCATCCAGTGCATCCTTCTTGAATCACCATTTGAACTCCACCCGAATCTAGCAACCACACTTGTAAGTTTAGAAGTGATCGTTTGTGGTAGTCTGAAGCAAGACATAACATAAGTTGGTAATACCGCAGCTACCGATTTGATCATCACTTCTTTCCCGCCTTTTCATAAGAATTTTGCCGACCATCCATTTATCATAGACTGTAATCTCTCTCTAACAAAGGAGAAAATATTTGTTTTCGATCCACCTAGACTTTCCGGTAAACCAAGGTAAGTGCCCATACCACCAAGGTTATTAATACTCAAAATCGCTTTTGTTTCCGCCTTTATAGTGTCATCCACCTTATGGCCAAATTGAATTGATGATTTTGAAAATTTAATTTGCTGCCCCGAAACTGCTTCATATTGCTTTAGAATCCCCAAAATTACCCCGCATTGATCTGTATTAGCTTTGCAAGAAAATAAGCTATCATCAGCAAATAAAAGATGAGATACCAAAGGACTAGCTGTCGATACTATACTGGTAATCAACTTTTCGTGTTCCGCTTTCCGGATTTTCGCAATGAGTACCTCCGTACAAAGTATAAATAAATAGGGAGATAATGGATCTCCTTGTCTTAGACCCCTTTCTGGAATTATAAGACCTCTAGGTTGACCATTAAGAAGAACCCTATATTAGACTATTGTGATACACCACATCATCCACGAAATCCACTTTTCGCAGAAACCCATCTTCCTTACTCATAATTCTTCTATAAACTTCCATTCAACCCTGTCATATGCCTTACTGATATCCGTTTTGATAGTCATATATTTCTCTTAACATGATTGGTTAGTTCTTTACCCATGAAACATCTCTTGTGCTATAAGAATATTGTCCGAGATCAATCGCCCTTCTACAAAAGCAGATTGAGTTTCCAAAATAAGGTTTGTCAGAACCTTTTTCAGTGTTTGACATAGTATCTTTGAAATTACTTTATATCCAACATTACAAAGACTAATAGGCCGTAATTCCGTCATCCGAGTCGGTCGCTCTGTTTTTGGAATAAGACAAATATTAGTCGTATTTAACCACTTATCAAAAACTCCATCTTGTAAAAAAGAATTAACCATAATTAACAGATCCGTTTTAATTGTAGCCCAAGCTTTTTGGAAAAACAAGGCTGTCATACCATCTGGCCCTAGCGCCTTCTCTGGGTGCATCATAAATAAACCCGCTCGCACCTCACATTCTGTCGCAGGTGCCGTTAAAACTCATTTATCTGATCTGTTATCATCAATTTAACCTCTGCCAATGACTCCTCAAAAGCATGATGATTAGTTCTTGTGAAGAAACTCTCAAAATAAGAGACCGCTATGTTCTGGATATCTTTATCCTCTGCAAACCATGTCCCATTTTCATCATGTAGTCTGTTGATTCGATTCCTCGCACGTCTCTGTTTTGTGAGAGCATGAAAGAATTTCGAATTATTATCTCCTAAATTCATCCATAGAGTCCTTTTTTTTTTATACCAATATTGTTCTTCATCTAGGTAAGCTTTTTTCAACCGCATTGTTAAATCCGTATTCTCTTCCTGTGTCCTTGTATCATCTCTCTGTGCTACCTCCAATTCAGATTTCAGTTCCTCTATTGTTTTCCTTCCATAAGGAGTTAACTCTTTCCGCCATTGTGAAATAGCTCGCCTACGATTAGTCAAGTTTTCAACAAATAGTCCCTCTCGTAGACCGGGATTTAAATTCCAACCATTTGCTACTGTCTCTAATAACCCTTCTTTTCCAATCCATCTCTTATCAAACATAAAACTTCTTTTCTTGTGAGGTATCTTATCCGCAATCGTAGCTATCACTGGTGAATGATCCGAAGCTACCAGTGGTAGATACTCAATGAAAGAATTGCAGAATAAATCATGCCATTCTTCATTAGCTAGAGCCCTATCCAATCAACATCATATTGGTTTTTTTATTCCGCCAACCCCTCCAAGATAACCAATCTCCGAGATGTGGAAATTCCACAAGGCCATAATCTTGAATCATTAAATTAAAAGGGATAAAAGAATATGCATGTCTTAATTTACGACCTCTTTTTTTTCATAATTTCCTCTTAACTCATAAAAATCACCTATTAAGAACCAAGGTATATCCCGAGACAAACCAATCCGTGTTAACCGTTTCCAAACTTGATCTCTATTTTTTCGGAACCGGATCTCCATAAACAAAAGTAAAATTAATTGTTTTACCCTTGTAAATGGCTTCAATATCTATTAAACGATTACTCTCAAAAATAATGGAGACGTTGAAGTCATTATTATAATAAATAGCTAAGCCGCCACTACAACCGATAGGATCTACCGTTTTAAAATTTTTATAACCAAAATGACAACAAATTTTTCCATATAAAGAAGATTGTTTTGTTTCCGAGAGAAACAAAAAGTCCGGCTTATGTTGCTTCCACAAATCCCGAAGATACCCAATAGTTGCCTTATTTTCTATCCCTTGACAATTCCAGCTTAGAACTTTCATTTATCACTCTTTGGTTTAGGTAGGTTGCGTCCACCTTGTATAACCCTTCACCGTGCCATAGTACGTCGGGTTACCGTCCTCATTCCCTTGAATATTCTTTAAAGAAACCCAATAACAATTGAAACAAGAAATTTTTATCCTTATATTGTCCCCATAAACAACAAAAAAAAACTTTTTTCCAAATAATACTATGACATAAAAAATCCAAATACTCGCATAAAGAACCTCTAAATTTATTCCAACAATGTAAAATATAGCTAAACCTCCGCTAGATCTACGAGGTTCAACCGAATACAACTTATTATAGTTAAACTGAGAATGAAATATCTGAAAATAAAAATAACAATTTTTTAATTCCGATAAAAATAAGAGATCTAGCTTATTCTCCCTCCACAAATCCCGCATATAATCTTCTGTCAGAAAAACATAATAATTTTAAAGATATTTTAAGTAGTCCTGATTAATCTTTTCTCTTTGTATTTCTCTATTATTTTATTTGGATTTTAATGTTGGAGGTGCTTGCCTGCTACAAGCATTGACACGTTTCTGTAGCAAAACGTGGGAACATAACTAAACATTTAGTACGTGGATATGAGTTTCTGAATCAAGTTAAAGAATATGTTAATGATGGAATCAAAAAGATCGACTGGAGATTGGATCAAATCACCATAAAACATTATGTTAATGATGGAATCAAAAGATAGACTGGAAATTGGATAAAATCACCATAAAACATTAGAGAAAATATGTTCAAATAACGTCAGTTAATTACTTAGATAGCACCCATCCAGGAAGGTATTACTCAAATAACACCTAAAAATTGTCAAATATCTTTTAAGCCTCTCTAAAAATTTTATTACTTACTTGCCATTTTGAATTAAAAAAAGAAGAGAAAATAAAATTAGATAATATTAAGAATCTAAATGAACAAATCATTTTATGTGTTTGGTCGTGCATTCGTTTCTCCGATGGTGTTGAGGCAAGCGTTGGTTTCTCAGTCGCGTGGATTGGTTGTTTTCGGCGCGTGACGGCAAGGCGAGGAGGTGGTGGTTTGTCTATCTCCGGTTTCTCTTTGGCTGGTGGACGACAAGCTTCTTCCGAGGAGATTAGACGTTTCATCTTGTTTTTGGTTTTCGTGCCCGGTAGATCTGAGAAGTTTGACGGTACCTTTTGTCCAGCCGGTGGTGGTTCCCCAGGAGGTGTTAGGAAGCTCAGTTCGAAGAAGGCATTTTCAGATTCGGAGATCTCGTCGGGTTTTAGAATTTTTCTTAGATCTAGGGTTAGTTGGGGTATTGGTTAGGTTCGGTGATTTTCGACAAATTTCAGGGTTTTTCACAATTGCGTGTCTACCGGTTTTGTTTGGCTGATGCTTCTCTGGTTTAATTGTGATTCGAGGTTGTTTGTTTCAAGGGTTGTAATTTTTGTAGTTTGCTTGCTTTCGGCCTTTGGGTTATGAAATTGGATCCTTGCTCTTACGCTCTGTTTTGCTCTCTCGAGTTTAGATCCTCCTTTGGTTCTTTTCGAGTATCATGTTCTTTGGCTCAGCTCCTGCGTCTACTTGTTCTGTGAACAATTTCGATTCTTTCGGGTTTGTTCTCGTTTTTGATTTTTTTTTTTCTAGGGTTTTGGAATTATCCCTCGTTTGATTTTTTCCTCTAGGGTTTTGTAGAAATTCGTATTGGGTTTTATTCGTTTTGATCGATAGGTGTTGAGAATTTATCATAGGTTTTATCGATCTAGTATAAAAAACTGTTCTTTGATCTTTTGCCTTACTTGTTAATTTGATTTTCTCTGCTGATTCTTTGTCTAAATCTCATCATATAGATTGATTTGGATCAATTATGATTTACTGATGTCCCAATTCTTGAGAAGGGTTTAAAATGCGATTCCTAAGTCTCTGATTGTGTAGAGTGTTTGATTGTTTCTAGGACCTTACTTAGCAAGTTTTCATCTTTCTCTAGAGCTCATTGTTGTTCTTCTTGAACTTTGTTGAGTGTTATCTTATTTTTAGTCTGTGTTCTGTTCTCTGCTTTGATTAGAAAAGTGATTGCTTGTTTCCATGTTTTCATTTACCGAAATTTAGTGATATGATTTTCTTTTTGTTATGCTTGTTATTGCAATATAGTTCCAAGGAATTTCCGGTTGTTGAAGGAGCTCGAACGTGGGGAGAAAGGTATTGGGGATGGAACTGTGAGCTATGGAATGGATGATGGAGATGACATCTATATGCAATCTTGGACTGGCACCATCATCGGTCCTCACAACGTAGTTATATCTTTTTCTTTATCTGCTAACATTCTCCTTAGTCTTCATATATGTTAGCAATTGTTTTAAGAAGCATTAATTAATGTTCGTTGCATCACCGTACCTACTTATCCTTTACTCCATGTTTGGAATACAGATCATCAAAACCACATTGTTTTCTAGGGGTGGATCTTATCGACATTCAATCTCTTAAGCTTTTTTAGCAGATTAGGCCATTGTTGCTTTTGCTTGTAGTAACAGGTATCAATTTTATGTCACAGACTGTTCATGAAGGTAGAATTTATGTCACAGACTGTTCAACAACACCAGAAATCATGCATTTTTGTCACGGGATAGTGAAGCAAAAATCATGCATTTTTCTCGAGCTGGGTTTGGATTATTCTCTCCGGTGATGATGAAAGTTCAAGAGCGATCGTAATCGGATTGATCTGAAAGAGACGATGGATCGATGAATTGATTTTGTGAAAGTGTTGTGTGGTGAGCGCGTGGAAAAGGTCCGCCTTTTTTTCGTCAACGGTCTTCAGACAACTAATCCTCCACTTACGGTCCATCATTTTTATGTCCTAATTGTAATTAATTATTATGTATCTCAACTTTATTATACTATTAATTTGATGAAAGAATGTTTTAGACTTAGTATTTCATTTATGAAAATGACAGTTGTTGTACCTAATGATCAAAAGTAAAGAATTTTCATTTTTTAACATTGTTTTGTACCATGTCACATTCGTTGAACCATCTACATTGACAAGGAAAAAAAAACTCGTATAAATTGCATATGAGTTTAAGTTCCTGGTTCGATAGAGGCAAGTACTTTATTTTGGTATGCAATTTATATAACTTGCATATGAGTTTATGTTCTTGGTTCAACTTGTACAATTAAGAGGAGTTTAAAATTAAAATTATATTTATGAAATTTTAAAAATTAAATAGTAACAAGTGATTTTTAACATTAAAAACTTTAAACTTTAATAATTTATTACATTTTCTATTTTCAAATATAATATATAAATTTTTATAAATTTATTTGATAATAAACTTGTTTTTACACAAATTACTCTTTGTGTAACAAGGAACATTTAGTTCATGATGACCTATATTGATGCAATAAATAGTGAACTATTATTTCCTGAATATTTTCCTATCAAAACTTCTTAAAAACCGATATAATGTGAAAATTAATGTGACCAACTAGATTTATATTTTCGATTTCAAGGTTCAACTTCAAAATGACGAAATTTCATTTAGTTCAACTATGAAGGAATCATGACAACAAGACATCTACATACAACTATGTACAATATCTAGTTGTCAAGGACCCCACAAAAAATTAAATGTTGTAATATAAATTTTTTTAAAGGGTAAAATCGACAATTCATAATGTTATGTTCGCCCTACTTAAATCTAATCGCTAACAATTTCTTCTAAATCTACCACCACATACGTCCAAAAAAAACGCTCAAACGTGTTAGTTAAGTAAACCGTTACTCTGCCTTGCCTTGTTATGACAGAGTTGAAAAATAACTCTGTTATAAGGATTAACTCTGTCATGTTATGACAGACTTATTTCGCAAAATCTGTCAAGTAACTCTATGTCCCTCATTAAGTCTGCTGCCAGTACATGTTACTCTCTTTCGCATGACTCTATTTTTTTTTAACTCTGCCACCACATACGTTAAATCTGTCACGGTGCTATTTTAGTAAACGTAAAGTCATCATAATCTGTCATGTAACTCTGGTTTTTTTTCAACTCTGCCACCACTGTAATTAACTCAATCAAATAACTATATCGTCTTATTACTCTATCACATAACTTATTCAACCTAATAACTCTAATGTGATAATCTACCAAAACCTATTAACTCTACCGTCACTACAACGATAGACTTTTGATGTGGAGGGAAATTTTCCCTCTTAAAACTCACTTTCTCTCTCTGACGTGACAGCATCTTTTAATGGCAGTTTTGTAATAACTTTTTTCCTACAACAACAATTCTAGGGTTATTTGACCATTAATGATCAACAAATAGTACAAGCTATATAAGTAATAAACACACTTTTATGTGTTATTTGAGTAACTCACCCTAAAACATTATGTTAATGACGGAATCAAAAGATTGACTGGAGATTGGATCAAATCACCATAAAACATATGTTAAATTGTTAATGATGGTATTAAAAGATCGACTGGAGATTGTTAATGATTTTGTATGAATAACTATAGAAAATGATAAGTCAACGATAGTATAATAATGTACACAGCTCTAATAAGTTTTTTTTTCACTAAAAGTCTGAGTTTTATACCAAAAAGGGGAACCAGTACAGACTGTTACAACTGTGGAATCAACCACAAACAAACTAGAGGTATCACGAAAATATTACATCAAAAGGACTATCAAACGAGTAAAGATAATCCAACATTTAAACTTTAGTTTCAGGCCACAAAGGGTTCATCTAAAAAGGTAAGTAAGGATTAGGAAGAACCACATCTGATGCCATTCTTCATCTTCTTGAAAAGTAGATATCTTGCTAACCAAAAATTGTTATCTTAGCTTAAACCTGAAAACCTTCCATCATTCTTTGCATATGTGATAATGCAAGCTTCCAAAAAATTGATGACAATTTTTGTAGAGTGATGTCAACGCTTCTTTGGAGGTATCTGAAAACCTCCATAGTCTTGAACTTTTTGTTTTTCCTTCTTATCCATGTCATTAGATAAGTCTTGTCTCTGACGTTTAGATGATTCACCAATATCAAACTTCTTTGATGTTTCACTTACTTCAAACTTCTTTGAGATTTTGGCAGTGGCTTCAGAATCAGATGAAGGAGTGATACTAGAGCCCATCTCTGATTGCATTCTCCTTGAAGACTCATATTGAGGAATTGGAACTTCAACCTGACGAAAATTTCTTAGCCCTGAAGACTGGAAGTACGGACTCATAACTGCAAATTCTTCAGCATTAGGTGGAGGAGCATTCACCCGTGGAGGTGGAGTCCTCGGCATAGGAAATGACCTATCTGAATTTTGAGACTGAGAATTCAAATTGGATCTGTTTAACACATCAATCTCAGCTCTTCTAACCTGGTTATTTCTGCGAAAAACTGAAGGAGCAATACGATTGCTTGGTAGAAAAGGACAGTGGACTCTATCATTAGTCATTCAAAAGCAAATACTGCAAAGCCTCCTTAGTCTTTCATACTGAAAACGAATTAACACTGATTCTCCAGGCCTAAAACTAAACCTTCTAAAGAACCTTAAGCTATCAGTAACTCCAAACCTGATGCTGACTCTTATAAAAGTAATTTGGGTACTAGTAGCTTCATTGAAATCCACTTCAACTATTTCTCCGATTCTTTCAGCTATGAAATTGTTAAGTTAAGAGGAATTGTTAAAAATAATCTTTTAAGTATTTTTTTCAAAAATGTTCCTCTTTGGTCTTTTTTTTGTCTTCTTTTTAAATTTTTAATGACTATTTTATCCGAATTTTGAAAATATAAAATTCAACAAAATGAAAAAGTAAATTTTCTCGCCAAAATGTTTTCCGCCAAAACAATTGCTCCAAAAACATTTCCTGCCAAAAATTAAGGGGATATTTGCAAATATGACCATTTTTCTATGCCTTTTCTAAATTAATTTTTTTTGTTGTCTATTTTTAAAAATACTATCTTTTATCTACAAAAAAAAACTAGATTATGAGAAAGTGAAATTTTCTGTCAAAAATAATTGTTCACGCTAAATTTTATTTTTCCGCCACGTGAAAAGTTTTCTTGCCAAAACATTTTCTGTCAAAATTTTCTCCACAATTTTTTTACTCCATTCCTTAAAAAATACTTTTAAATTTACCTAAAAAACCTTGTAAATTTTTTTATAAACCCTTCTAAATCTTTTTAAAACCCTTATAAAAGTTTTTAATATTTCTTGTAAATCATGTAAAATCCCTTGTAAACTTTTAAAACCCTTTTAAAACTCTTTCAAAAACCCTTGTAAATCTTTTTAAAATACTTCAAAACCTTTTTTTAGTATTTTAGTACCCTTGTAAATAATTTTAATACCCATTAAAATTGATTGCTGGAGTAATTACCCGATACACTTAACCACAAGGTAGTATATACGAGATCGATCCACAAGGACCAAAGATACTCTAAGGATTTCCGAGACTCGTTCTTAGCTAAAACTAAAAGATTATTTTGGTTGGGTTTTTAGAATTCTAAATATAAATGCAATTAAAATAGGCGATTAAATTCAAGATTTAAAGACATTAGGCATTAGGGTATTTCAGAGATCAATAAACAATAGAAACATGAGACCAGTAATTCAACAATTACGAACCGTTCTTGAACATGAACACAACTTAGAATAATTCCCTTTCAAAATATTAATCACTAAATTTGACTACTCGATTACTAAACTTTCGCATGTAATTTCCTAGTCAAATTCGCATTATCAAACAAGTTCATTAAGTTCACAATGTGTCCTAAATTCAACTTTCGTTGGCTAGAAATACATTGCTCAATTCACATTCTTTCAGGCATTCTATCGAACACTTTTGATGCATAGAAAAACCTAGAATCTACAACAGAGTGATCAATCCTATTCTAGCATTAAGAACATGTGAATCAAAGAACCTAGAGAATGAGATTTCCTAATACAATTAATCCACTAATCCATTGAATCTCCTAATTAGAACCCTAAAACCCAATAAGGAGACTACTCACACATAGTACAAAGAACAACACAAATAGATTGAAAGGAAAGCATAATTGAATTGATAAATAAAGAATAAGGGTTTAGAAATCTTCTCCAAAGTGTCAAAGAGGAAGAATCTCTAGAATCCCAAAAAACTTACAAGAGAGAAGTCTCAAAAGTTGCAGAAAAAGAACGTCTAAAGAAAAACAGGTTTCTCTGGGTTTTTATACCCAAGTACAGAAAAAGGCAAATAAACCCGCGGTCTGGTCGTCGAAAAGGGTGGATCGATCGATCCCGAGCTCCTGGAATGAACACTTCTTGACGGATGAGGGGTGGATCGATCGATCCCAGGAGGGGATCGATCGATCCCATGCTTCTGGTTAAAAGGTCTTAGACGGATGAAGGCTGGATCGATCAATCCCCTCCTGGGATCGATCGATCCAGAGCTACTGGAATGTTGTTGCTGGTCGTGTGAAAACAGCCCCATCTGGGATCGATCGATCTCATGCTACTGACTCCGGTCCTCGATTCCCGCGAGTGTTTCTCATGCTAAGGACTCAAGACACAACCGAAAAGACGCAAAAGACGGACTACAACACGATAAACGACTCAAAACGCGGACTAAATCAGGACTCGAAACCGTTAAAAATGCTATACATCAACTCCCCCGACTTAGATATTTGCTTGTCCTTAAGGAAAGCAGAAATCCTTATCAAGAGAAGAGGTTTGAAAACGCGAGAACTCACATTTTCTTCGGGATCATGTTCTATCAATTGCTTGCAAACCACTATCACAAAACTCATCAAACCGTACTGGACTGTACTTTGCCAAAACCGTGGCAACAAATTTAAATCCCGAGATCTAAAAGAACTTTCAGAATTAGATAACTTAACCTTTAAACATTCATTAGCAGTGGCGTGTATCTCACAAAGGGGATATCGAACACGCTATGGGCTTGGTCAAAAGGGCTAATATGTGGTGGCTCA